GGGTTAAGCAAAAATGACTGTCTCTGCAGCTTCACAAGCCAGAAGAGACGATCCTGTGCATGAGGAAGGCCTTCAGCTAGAACATCAAGAGTTTGGTAGTCTTGGTGAGTATATTGGTTATAACAGCAGTTGACTGGCACTACAGTTTTTCCCAATTTTTCCATTTTTATACTCATCTAGTTAATCATAATAAAGTATTGAGTATTGACTGTTTCATGACAAGAGAATGCATATTTGGTATAAGTATCACTTGCTAATATTGCTTTGGATGCATATAATGATTCATACATAGCATGTTGCTATTATTAGTCCGCATATATTTTTCCAACTCAAAAGTGGTTCAGTATACTACCTTAATATCCATCATACCAATTTTAGGGTGGCTTAACAGCTGTTTTATTTTTTAGAAACATATCTCCAAGAGTTAAGGGACACCCTAACTGCAGTCCAGGTTCCGGAGGCAACAGACGGAACGGTTTCTGCCTGGGCACCACGACAAAGGAGCCTCATTCACTTTACATTGGCGTTGTTTGCGTGGTGCAGACACGTAAATGTAACAAAGTTCGTGACTCCACCACGCAATGCAGTGTTAAGGAGTCGTGGTGGAGTCACGCATTCTGGTGAGATCAGGTTGAATTCAGTACATCATGTTTTACGCATATAATGTGCTGTTTGTCTCATATATCGAACCTTTATATAAACCTTTGAACTTTAATATTTGTATAAGTACAAACATTCCTGAATATTTGAAGAACAGAATAAACATTAATTCAACATGAAACCCCCAACATGCTGTTTGACATTACATCATGCATATGGACAGTCTGTAAAACTCAACTGCGCTTTGCAGTGCAAGTATTTTACAAGTATTTCACAATGTAGGACTCAAAGTACTTGCAGACTGTAAAGTACTCAAACTGCTATCCAAATAAAGTAGTAATCACTGATTTGCTGCTTCCACTCGTTGTGCGTCTCAGTCTGGATCTCTGTGTCGGTTTTGATATGAAAGTCTCTGTTTGTTGTGTTTCAGATCCAGAGGGGTTATCTGTGTGCCTGGTGAAGACGTGTGTGTTCTCTGTGGGTCTGGTCATCATGGTGTCTGCTGTCATCACGGTTCATCTCATGGAGAAGCTCAACAAGAACAAATAAACTCATAGTTCTGGTTCCCAACTGGGGGTAGGGGGACCCCTAGGGGTAGTTGGGGGGATTGCAGGAGGTACGTAGAAAGATTAGGGGTTGCAAATTATTTCCAAACGAAACATTTTCAAATCAATTTTCATAAACCACTCACCAAGAAATGTATAAATCTACAACAAAAGTGTGCGGCCTCAAGGCTAGAAGTAGCAAACATGGATATAAATATGTTCACTTACAATGTATCTACATGACAATTCATATTGGCTAAATCTTGATATAAACATTGATGCTTTGCAAGGTAAACACAGAAGGCAGCTTTCAAGAAAATGCTGAATGTTCTTGTTAATCCAATGATTATAAGTAATCTGTTTGTGCGTAAAATCATTGTGTTGCATTCAGATTAGGGAGGTTTTCAAAAAAACACAAATAACTTAATAATAATATAATAGTAATTATTTAAAAAAAAATAAATGTCTTTGTACAGTATGTTTTAAGCTTGTTTACATTTTGAATGAAAGCATACATGCGCCATTTAATAAAGCGTTTTAATTCCTATATTTTCAATTATTTATTATGTGTTCATTCAAATGAACAAATTACTCACATATATGTTTGTAATTTATTTGATTGTAATAAAGATCATGTGGCAATTCTTTGTTTCACTCTGCTGTGACAAAGTATTCCATTACATTTACTAATTACCTAATCATCAGTAAACTACTGTAAGTATCTGATATTCATATAACCTAAACTAATTACTTTCCATTACTTTGGGGACAAATCAATATCAAAGCAATGCAAATAAATACAACAAGGCTTTAACCTAGGTGTAAAATATAAAACAACAGAACAATGTAACCTTAGAAAAAAAGAAACGCAAATATGTTTGTTTAGTTTCAACAATGGGTCCTCTGCTCTTTATATAACAAACAGAATATGCTTTTTTTTAAGTTCACTGCAGTATTAATGAAGAGCTTTCACAGCATTTTTAATAAATCCCCTGTCCGCCCACTGAGCTGGCAAAGAGGGAAAAAACTAATTGAATATTCAGGCAAAATAAAGTCTAATGATTTCAAATAAAAGGCTAGACAAATATAGTTTACAAATACTTTTTAATTTAATACATGAAATACTCTCACATAACATTATATGACATACTCACATTCCACATTACATCACATTTATTTATCTGTCACTTTTATTGAAAAGTGCCTTGAAGAAACTAACTAAGAAAAGAAAGAAGAACATTCACTTTGCAAAATACATGTTGGTGTTGAAATCCTAAATAAAAAAAAAAAATGTAAGCTACCTATACCAAGAAGTGGACCACAGAAAACCATCATTTACAAATCATTAACCTGCAAATTCTTCTTTAAATAAATGTTGACTCCTTGGAAAATGATTATATATTAACAGCTGGAAGGCAAAGCTTTCAATGACGGTAATGTTGTTTCACTTTTCTCCTTTCGATGGAGATGATGGAGAATTTTCCATTCAATTCATGACTTCTTTAAACTACAGGTGTGGTGGCGTTTTAATCCTTGTCTACAATTTAATAGCCACCTCTATCGGGTTGTGGGTTTTGACGTGCCTCTCTTTGTTTCCAAACAAATGAGCTGAGAACATGGTTGAGTCAGATGAGCTTTATTCGTTAGTCCACACATTTCTTCGCTTCATCCTAAATCAAAGTTAATAGTCTCCAAAAGAACAAAAAGAACACGGTCAAAAGACTTTTCCGTTTCCCCGTCTCATCACCATCAGCTGTGTCCTATCAACCTACCATATATAGGCATATAGCCATGCACGTGATACTCACGCACATAACAAATAAGTTAGCCTTAAATTAATACATTTTAAACCATAGTATGACACAAACAATACCTTTAGATGGTGAGTTTAATCTAATTTATATTATTATCAAGCCTAACTATCAGACAATAATAACTAAATTAAAATGGCTCTAACAACAGGCAACAATGATGTACAGGAAGATTAGCTTTGGCTTCACTCGAGACTCGGTGTTGTGAGACTCTTGAACTGATGTATTGTGTGAGAATGAGTAATATATACTTCTTTACTTGAAAATGTATTGTAACATTGTAATCATTCTTATAATCCCCCTTTTTTTTTGTTATGTAGCAGAAACAACATATTTCTGTAACTCTTAGGGTAAAAACTATAAAATCTTTTGCACACAATAACATTAATTCCACTACATGTAATCTGTTGCTCTCAAAGCCTGTCGTTAAACTGTGTGTAAAATGGAGAAAAAAGTTCAATCCAATGATCTTCTTCTTGCCGGCAGTGGCTCAGTCAGTAGGGGCTTGGACTGGGAGCCGTAGGGTCACTGGTTCAAGTCCCCGAACAGACCTAAAATATGGAGTGTGGACTGCTACTTGGAGAAGTCCCAGTCCACCTCCTGGGCCCTGCCGTGGTGCCCTTGAGCAAGGCACCAGACACCCCCAACCCCCCAGAGGTCATATTTCACTGTGTGTGCTGTGATGTGTGCATTTGCAAGGGTTTCATCCTCTAATTAGCTTGATGCTAACTAGGATCAGTGGTTCCTGTTGCTCTTCAAGTTAGCTATAGTCTTTGAAACCTTCGTACAAATGTACAAAACATCATTGCTTTCCAATATTTCAAAATAAACTAATATAATCAGGTGCATACAACAGACAGAAATCAAAGATATACAAAAAATGACAAAACATTAAGATATAAAAAAATTAAATACATGTTTGTCACAGTATTGTCTGAGAGGAGTCAATAAATAATGTCCTTTGAGTCAAGATGGCAGCCATAGCCATAGAGATACAGAATGCATACACTGCAAGAAAAGGAGTCATTTCAACCGATCATTAACCAATCACAGCTGTGCATTGAAGGTGGAGTTAGAGCACTTCTGGGTGCAGACACAGGACGTGGTTTAGGATTTTCACACCAAAAGAGGGTAATGTGAAAATGAAGTCCATGGCTCAGTTGCTCGTAATCCCAACGAGAGCAGTATGTGGAAAACGACTCATGATCATTTTTCAAGGACCTGGTGTGGTCTTTTTTACCTGAGCGTACACACTCTCTAGCTGAGCTGTGTTTCTAGGCTCAGTGGGTGCTGCGGGTCCAGTTTTAGGACCAACCAAAGCGTAGGTGCAGGACAGAGGCGGAGCTGAATCTTCATCATCTGTTGGATCCTGAGGCCCGGCTGGAGCTCCGGGCTGAAACATAACAAAACATTGATTTACCAAAGGTTGTTTGGAACTTTGACCTAACATTTATTTTAATTGCGCTTCATATTGTGTCAACATGTGAAGTAATATCACTACAATCAAAAGTAGCTAATATATTCCCCTAATGCAGGGGTGTCAAACTCAAATACACAGTGGGCTAAAATAAAAAAATCTGTACTAGTCGAGGGCCGGACTGGTTCAATGTTTATTGCAAAACTTATTGAAATGAATTTATTGCACATATTAAACCTGGAACTAACAAAGCTTAAATTATTGCCCATAAAAACAACATTAAACATTAAATAATCAGTTGCATTCATTTCTTATGGCTCTATCTGCAGCTTTTCCAGAGTCATTTATTATGATTACATTTTTCCACAGGCCAACAACAGCTTCAACAAAACTATTTCCCTCAAAGAACAAACCAAACATGCCCTGTTGTCTCAAGAAACAAAGTGCAGAAGGAAACATCCATTGAAATCAGTGTGCTGCTCTGTGATGCTAGTTCAAGCCAGATACTTGGCATCTCATCTGGGGTGCAAGTTCATCAATGTTTGGGGTCAGGCTCTGAGATGAGGAAACCCTCAGGATTGAGTGAAGGTGTGCGTGCAATATACCGGCGGGCCAGATCAAATAGTAATTAAAAATTATCCTGCGGGCCGAAATTAAATCCACCAAGGGCCTGATTTGGCCCCCGGGCCTTGACTTTGACACATGTGCCCTAATGTAATAAAAACTTCCATATCATAGACTACAAAAGTGATAAGGGTGTTTAACAAGAATATAAGATTCATTTGTATTTTTATCTAAAAGGCATGACATTTAAAGGCCAAACAAGCACACAAAAAAGCATTTGCACTGCTAACTCATACAATAGGCTTACTTCGCATTAATAAGAGAAAGACATGGGAAATGACAGGTCTCCTCTTTTCTTAATTTATTCTGGGACAACAAATTAAGATTTCTGGTTCTCATAAAACAGTTATCTGTACGTTACTGTGTTTAACTTTTCACACAACTATCACATGGTATGAAAACAAATATATCAGTGCAGCTTTCCGGTGACGTGACAGGCTTCTGCTCTCAGTATGTGTTGTGTGAGAAAATGCAGAAGTGCACACCCTCGGCTCAGTAGGAAGTCACATAGCTTTGGCTAACGGATGTGTGACAAAAATAGAAAGCAAAGTTCTGATCATGAATGTGATATTCATGAAAGAAACCTTTGGTAAATGTCACTGTGTCTGCATTATGTTTACGACACCAGCATGTCATGTAGAGTTTTAAGAACATGAAGAAGGAGCATCGTTCCATCAGTGCATCAACTTATGGGAAAACTATATTTAAAAAATTAAAAAGAAACCCACACAAGCAAACAACAAATACACATCACTAAGAAACACAATACAGTTTGAATACAATTATTGCCTGACAGAGACCTCAGCAGCAGGTTTAGAGAGAAGCATCGCGGTGCATCAGGTTAGTCGGACCCAAAGCTTTAAAAGAGCAAGCAGCACAACCAGGAATGTGAGCAGCAGGACCTGGAACTGCAGACAGAAGGTGGTGTAGAAAGGAGTCATGGATAATATACAGTAAATAACCATTACATATAGGCTATGCAGATATATTGTGTGCATAGTGATTAGTGTGCATAGTTGGCAATATAACTGTCTGAGGCTCCAGTTATGTATTTAGCTTGTTCCTCATATTCAGTCCAAGTCTGTTTAAATTGTTCAAAATCAAAGATTCAGTTACATTTTTTAGTGAAAAGTAAAAAAATACGTTGTCTCTTACCTGAGCAGAAGCATAAACTGGAGTTACGCCACTCGCTCCTTTGCCTGCAGGTCAGTAAAAAATAATAAGGTGGATTTGCATTAATTTACATTTCATTTTGAGAGCTTCACCTTTAAAGCTCATTACCTTCATAAAAGGTACATTACTTGAGCTGCATCTGCATTGAGTCCAGATTTTGGTTGTGTCTAAATTATCTTTTTCAAACAGCTGAACACTTTAAAGCCGATATATGTAGAATATTATAAAGAGTATGTTTCTGTTTGAGAGGTTTCAGATATATTTTATGTGATTGCTCAATTAATGGATATTTGTATCTGGAAGATGATGAACTTGACATTAAAACAAATGTAATTTTTTTCTTCTTAAATGCACACTTAGACTTACTTGTTCTTTCGAAGATACCAAAGTACTACACCAATGATGGTGAGAATTGTGAAGAATACACCCAAAATGATGGGAACAGGGTTTGTTGGTTGACTATCTGTAAATAAAAACATAAGCCACATTATAATGCTTGCTTAAATTCATAAACTTAAGTGTGTTACGGCATCACATCCTGCCAGACTGTTAGATTTAATTACACAAACATGTCTTAGTAGCAGACCTGATCTGTTGTAAGAAATAATTTAATTTGTTTGCTTTAACCCTAATATGTTAAACAAAACAGTTATTCAGTTCAATGTGAAACTACCAACCTTCCAAAGGTCACTGATTAAGCAAATGTAAGCACCGCCTAGCTCTTGTTTAATCACATGTGTTCTTAAGAAATCTTATGCTGTATGCTCTAAACTCCAAACTGTGTATTATAATCAGTAAGTAGTTTTGTCTTTCAGTCTTACCAAAATGTTTGGGGCAGACGTCTTTGATTATTTTGGTGGTGTTGGTCCAGCTGACATGGTTGCTATGGTTACAGATGATCGATCCACTTGATTGGTGGACCTGGAGAAAAGTATCCGGGATCCCCTCTGACCGCTCTCCTCCCTCCTGACTGCAGGTTCTGGTTTCACATGTGAAAGTGCTGTTGATGTGAGAGTCCTGTGAGCTGCAGGTCACAGTGAAGCTACAGGAGGGAGAGCTATCAGAGACAGAGCTCACTGTGAGGAGAGGGAGAGACGCTCGATCTGAGGAGGGAAGAAGCAGGTGAAGAGTTTTAGAAACAAGACCACAGAAACTCTATCAGTGTTTGAGAGGTTAACAAACCTACCTTGAACTTTAATCTTGTATTTAGCTGCTTCTGTTTCGTCTCCTGAACGATTTGTCACTACAGCAGAGTAAACTCCACTGTCTGCCTCTTGGAGATTCTTCAATTTCACAGAGTAATTGTTCACAGAAAATTCAATCCTTTCAGCATAATCAGTAAATACATATGGATTGTTGCCAGGGTTAACTGTTAATACATTTTTTTTTGTTTCATTAAATGTCCATGAGAAACTAGAAACATCCTGAAGATCATCAGCTGCTGTGACATTCAGAAGCACATCCTCTCCCTTCAGCACAAACACAGTCCCAGCACTGATCCCTGTAAAACAGTAGACACATCATACAGTAAATATCACACACAATATATGGTTATTTGGGTAATAATGAATATTTCTATATTCCCACTATGTGTAATTATAAAATACCTTCACATTTAGATTAATCAAAGGTTGGAACATATTTTTAAACAAATCTTGGATTAGCTTTGACCCTTAAAGCTATCTATCATCTACTTTAAAGGTTAAAAGTTGCCAGCATAGTGTCCTATTGTGAAACACTGTGAAAGTGTTACGTTTGGGTACACAGCACATAGAAACTGCTAACTTTCATGTTGGTCAATCTGCACAATCAGCATAATTATTATTAGCAAGAAATGGGGCGAAGCCTGCGAGCTAGTTCATGCAGTCAACTCGAGCACCAATGATACATTAACACGTGACGCACCTCGTCCGTCTTACAACATATCCAAACACAAAAGTGTTTAAAATAAAACGTTAATCTTCGTATGGATCAACATATTCATAAAAGTATAGATTTAATTACTATTTAATAATCCCAATTACTGGGGATTTTAGTTCAAGTTTCTGCTGTATTTTACATTCACTTACACTGAAGATACATTTCCTTTACATCACCAGGACTTTGTGCCTGGGTGTGGTTTCAACCGACATAACTGTATATATCAAAATATCTACATACAATTTTACATTAATTAGTATTACTACTTTATTAAATGACAATAAGCAGATAACTAATAATTGTATACATTTCTAAATACTACCTAATTGAAATATCTGTTTAAAAAAAACATGACCTTTCTAATCTTATATTGTTTAAGTAGTGCTACAATACAACAACTTTGACTGTGAGAACAAAACAAGTTAATGTGCTTACCTTTTGATTCACATAAATAAAGCTCATAAACGACAAGGAGAAGTAAAACAAACAACTTCATTCTGCAAATGTGCTGTATGAGGAAGAGACAGAAAGCTTCATTGCTCATGTCTTTGAGACCAGCCTGTTTCCATATTCCCTCTCTCCTTTAATCTATTGTTCCGCCCTGTACAAGACATGATACAAAACATGGCCATTAAAAACACATAACCAGCTTTATTAAAGCACTTTTTTTTACAGGGGTTTATCTCTTTATCTTAAACACTATTTACATTCCAGGGCTCGATGTTAATTCAATACAATTTAACATTTACATTCAATTTCCATCATAGTCATTATATTCACCCTCATTAATGGCACACATTCCCATCAGAATAAAATCATGTTCAGTCACATACAACCAGTGCTTGAATTGTATAAAAAATAAGCCCTGTAAACATTGTCTTAATCTTAACCCCTTAAAATACATTGTCATTTCATATCTAGCTTTCTTTTTTTAAATGCTATGTTCATTGTATTGTTGTATTGACACTAAATGGTAAAGCATCTTATATTTCAACTTGGCCAAAAGGCACTATACAAATGATAAATGAGGTGTATAAATACTCACAGAGGAAATGCTCCTGCAATTGAAAGAATATTGCCGCCTGCTGCACTTGTTGAGGTCAGCCAGCAGGCGGCAATATTCTTTCAATATGTATGTATAGTGCCTTTTGGCCAAGTTGAAATATAAGATGCTTTACCATTTAGTGTTATTTCTCCTCATTTGAACAGCCAGGGGGTGGGGGGTACAACTGGACAATATTTCCTTCAGTTATGTCAGTATTCAAATATTTATTGAAATGTAATGAATGCAGTTACTGTTTACCCGAGTTTCTGAATAACTAGTGCCACCGTTTATTTGCCTACCTTCAGAGTCATGGTGAAAAATTCAAACAACATTGGAGTAGTTTGTGGGGGTATTATAATCTAGTAGATCAAGTAGAAACCGACTAAATGGCCCATCAGGAGTTTAAACATTGCCCCTTTCTGGTTTGAACTGGAATCTTGTATCCGGAAAGTGTCAGACATTAATTCAGCGTCCTCCATGACGCTCAAAATATCCAATATTGTCAAATGAATGCTAGACAGAATCAATGAAAGAAAGATACATTCTTTAACAAATGCAAACTTCATGATATTCAGAAGCAGGTCTCTAAACGCTCTGTGACCCCATGTCTGAGTTTCCCCATCAACTACAGCAGGACACCGAGGCCAAACAGGAAGGTAGTGGAGAAGTGAGAAAAACGACAAATAAATATGCAAGGGACGAAATACAGAGCTGGTGAGAAAAGCCTGCAGAGAGGGAGAACGTTTCTAGAGTCTCTAAGGATAATTAAAACAGAGGTAAGTCCACAAACAGTAGCCAAATGCACTTACTGACCCTGACACACACACACACACACCACACACACACACACACACCAACACACACACACACACACACACACACACACACACACACACACACACACACACACACACACACACACACACACACACACACACACACACACACACACACACACACACACACACACACACCCTCCCCGTTCTCTCTCAGGCTTGACTAACCACCATGCATATCACATGTCCCCGTTTAGAGGTAGTGTTTGGTGAGATAAAATGTACAAAACTGAAGTTAAGCACATATCAGTAGACCATATCGAGGTTTGAAAAGGCCCCACTTCTCATCTAGGGATGACACACACTGCACACACATCACACGACAGTCATGCTCATGTCTCCTGCTGACCACAATGTGACTGACTCACTGTGACACCTCTAGACTTTAATCATGAGGGACGTGTTTTTTGAGTAGGGAACATTTGTTGACATGTGCACAGGAAGATAGAAATCACCCGGACACTTATCTCACTTAGAATGTCCCTATAATCTATTTAAATTAAGATCTCCTTTATTAATCCACAAGGGGAAATTCCGTTTTTGACTCTGGTGTTTTTTTTACAGATACACAAATAGGCCCGAAATGCACACACACATGCACAAACAGGACCTGGGCAATTATCATTGCTCAAGGACACCTCAGCAGTGCCCAGTAGGTGAACTACTTTGTGTGTCTAACTACCAGTCCACACCCCGTATTTTTGGTCTGATCGAAACTCGAACCAAGCGACCCTGTAAAAAGTAAAATACCTGCAGATACATTGTAATGGAGTGAAACCATAAAGCAGCAGAACATGGAAGTACTGCAGTAACCATTGTTAAACTACTGTATGACCCATCAGAGTTAATTCCCACAGTGCTGTAAACGCATTGTTCTCATCTCCGAACGTCCCCATCCAGCTTCCTTAAAAATCATCCTTATACATAATCTGGTAAGGGCTAGTCCTCATGTATAACAACGTGCTTTAACAATGGATATGAGAAACATTACTACAATGTTACAGTAAAAGAGATTAAGTATAATAAAGTCATATTGTCCAGGATGTATATAATTGTACAAATCCATTTAAAGCCGGTTTAAAAAGTCAGATCAGTTTTTGGATAAGGTAAAAAAGAAAATACAGAGGTTGTGGGAATTGTTATTTATTCCAATTTGTTGGTCTTGTCAGCAAATGGTCATCCACCCTCAGTTGCAAATTTAGATTTAGGAACTGCAAGAATAGATATTTTTGCCGTTTTGAAATCATCGCCCTTCTTCACTTATTTTAGTGATTTCAAATAAAAGAGGCGGGGATGACTGTGCTTGTGTCGGTGTGAGACGAGACAAGCACACATTTCAGAATCAGAATCAGAATACCTTTATTAGTCCCACAGAGGGTAAATGTACGTTGTTACAACAGAAAAAGAGCCACAGACAGCTTAATGTTACATGTTACATATGTTACATGCATTAAAAAGTACTAAGATAAAAAAACAAAGTTATGATATAATAAAACATATAATGAACAAAAAAAGTTACACAATTTACAAAATACACATCCTGTAACAGTTCTTAGGATTTAGCACATAGTTGGTTGGTATTTAACAGCAAGGGGTGTTATAGTCTGTATTGTGGTGTGTGTAGGGGGGGGGGGTGTCTACTAGGGGCTGTGCTGGTCTGACCGCTGCAGGAAGGAAGGACCTGCGGTATCTCTCTGTGAGACAGCGGGGGTGCAGCAGCCTGTTGCTGAAGGAGCTGCACAGTGAGGACAGGGTGTCCTGGAGGGGGTGGGACATATTGTCCAGCAGGGCGTACAGCTTGGCTGCCATTCTCCTGTCTCCCACCACCTCCACAGTGTCCAGAGGAATCCCCAGGACAGAGCTGGCCTTCCTTACCAGTCTGTTCAGTCTCTTCCTGTCAGCAGCCGAGATGCTGCTGCCCCAGCAGGCCACACCATAGGAAATGGCTGATGCCACAACAGTCATAAAATGTCTGAAGGAGTGCCCCCTGCACCCCGAAAGACCTCAGTCTCCTCAGCAGAAAGAGTCTGCTCTGTCCCTTCTTGTACAGAGCAGCAGAATTATCAGTCATTCATGTCATTTAGAGATTTTTGTTTCAGAAGGGGAATATCTGACAGATATATATTGTCATGGTTAAAGAGTAAACTGTAGAGAGATGTGTGAAACTGTAATATGTAGAAGTGACTTGATGCTAACGGGCTCTACTTTGTGTGAATGAGAGGAAGGAGCAGAGATGACTGTAGGAGTTTGTTTTGAATATAGATTTGTTTTAGTTTACAGCCTCTCTGTGCATGCTTTTTGTCCAAATGTGTGTTGGACACCCCTCACCTAACTAAGGAAGGCTAAGCATCTGATACGTGCAGATTGCATGTTTGCATCTGGGGCCAACGACATCTGTTTTTGTTGTGGTTTAACCGTTGGCTTTACTAGTTTCTAAAGAGGATGTGTATGTGGGTGTTTAACAGGAAGAGAAGTTCTCATGAAATATGCAAAGGTGCACTACGGGTGGAGTAGGATTTAAAGTTTCTCTCACAAATCCTACAACTTTGCAGAAACAAGGCTAGACTACTCATTTAGTGACTGTGTCTGTTAGGTTGTGTGTGTAAAAGTTAGCTTCCTTGAGCAGCGACACCTTGTACTGCAGCCTCTGCCTCTGCATGAATGTGTATGTGAAGCGCTTTGCAGGGTCGTAAAGACTGGATAAAGCGCTATATGAAATGCAGTGCATTTACCATTTAATGTATAGGCTGTACACAACATATTCTGAATCTGTTGTGCAATCTATTTTGCAGGCAGTTCATCGAAGAGAGACCGATAGAGAGAGAGAGAGAGAGAGAGAGAGAGAGAGAGAGAGAGAGAGAGAGAGAGAGAGCTCTCTGATTGGCTACTTGATCAGTTCAGTTACATTTTTGTAGTTACCCTTTTTCTTTACGTCTTTACTTTCCTACTTCAAAATATCACAGGATCTCAAAGCTATCAGATCAGTTTTGTGTTAATCAAGATTTTCCAGTTTTATTAAGGCATATAGATTCAGATGAAGCAATGCGAGAAAATACAACAAACACACAAACATGGCGCAAATAACACAGACAGCAACGGAGACTCTGTCGAGGAGGCACAATAAAAGTGCAGCGTATTTCTGTACTTGGTTGTATCTTCTCACATTTTCTTCAAACGTTTAAATGTTCTGTTATGGTGAAGATGTTTCCCTATTGTGCATGTGTTGTGTTGATGTGCATGTTGAACTCTCAAGATCAGGAGTTGTGAAAAGGGTATGCTAGTTCAGTTTGGGTTGGCCTTCTGTGAAGCTGATTCTGTGTTTCCGGTCTTGCTGATGCTAATCATTTACTAGCAGTCTTTGCAGTTATTTAATTGCAACAGAGGAAGTGAAAGTTACTGATAAGTGTCAACTTGTTCTCTGCTAATGGTGGGTCAGGGCTCCAAGACAAGAGCTTAAGTTCCCTATGTTGACATGCAATTACACAACTCCACTGAGGTGCTCATGAGGAGAGAACTGAAAGGATGCTACACTGTGATGCATGAAAGACGGCCTCCATCTTTTCTTACATCATGCAATATGTAGTTATGTAAGTAGGTAAGGCCACTCCTGAACTTTGCATCAGACTCTTTAGCACATTTAACTAAATGTCCTCATCAAGTCTGTCCACCTCTCCCTCTTTCAATTAAATTCAGCTTTGTCACCCTCTCCTGAGGCAGAATAAGGGGCCGTATTCACCTCACGGACGCCCCTCTTTATGGGTTTGAGCTTAACAGGACGCTCCGTACGACGCTCTTGGACACAGCAAACGCAGGGCGCAGAAGTTATGAATAGGGGGCTCTGTGTTACCCCCCGAAAGAGGGTGTGTGTGTGTGTGTGTGTGTGTGTGTGTGTGTGTGTGTGTGTGTGTGTGTGTGTGTGTGTGTGTGTGTGTGTGTGTGGTGCAGGGGGTGGTCTGATGGGGCCGTTTGTTGCCGTGTGAGTGTGTGCCAGAGTGCATTTGTATAGAATGTGCATGTGAGGCCTCAAACGTGCATCTGTTGGTGTGTGTGTGAGTTTGTGTGCACATTTCAGGGAGTGTGATACAACTACAAATGCTACAAAACATGTTTTTTAAACTATGATTCTTTTATCCCATGTTGATGCATTTTTGGTCCCCTTTGCTATTCTGATTTGGACTGAGACCGGTGGGAGTGGCGATCAATTATTACAGCAATTACACAGACGCGAGGAGGACAAAACAGGATTCCAGGAGAGAGGGAGAGACACACGGAGGGAAAGAGTAACAGTGAGAGAGAGATGCCTCTTATAAAGCCAAGTCCTGTCTCTCTGGGGAGAATTTGTGAGCAGTGAGACCGGGCTGTGGGTCAGAGACAGAAGCCTGAAGAGCCAATGACTGTCTCCATAATTCTCCTCCATGGTGCATCAGTGCAGTGGGACGCTACTCAGCTGTGTGTGTGAGCAGGTGCAGGACAGCAGAGCAGACATGAGGACCAGAGGCTCAACGCCTCTCTGCACAGCCTTTAGACTGTAATTCAATCTGTGAAGGTAAGAAACACATTTCTCACCCGAGTGCAATTAAAATACCTAAGAAATAACATTTTTTTTCCAAAGGAATCAACACATGTCTTTTACACCTCAGGTACCTTGGTTCCTACCTGAATACCTGAATGTGCATATTGTAGTACAGATTTATAGCTTGATTTCATTTATGTTTTACATATTGAGTAATATACTGTTTTTATTTATATAAGTATTTATATTGCGTTATTTCCACTTGTAGTTTATATATTCATTGGTAAAAAAACACAACAGTAAAAACAAAGTACCAACATATTCAATGAATTTATAATTCAGCGCATCAAAGCTTTAAATGATTGTGAAATTACTGAAATTCACAGAAGCCACATTTCCATAATTGACCAACCCTGAGCTGTGAAAAAATGTTGTTAATTTTGCTAGGCAAGCAGCACCAAAATGAGTTTTAGGTTATAAAAAAAACAATAGTTGTTTACCTCATGATGACACCTTGTTCACAGTTCAAATTCATAGTTTACATGTTTCGTTACAGCTGCATTGTGAACAGTGGCAATATTCCTCTGATTGAATTTGATGCAGAGATTTCAAAGTGTCACAGGATGGGCATCAGAGAGGAATGACGCTGAGTTGGAGACCTAAGATCCCTCGTCAACGCTCAAATCCAATCAGAGCATCTGATTCTAGTGCTCAGATCTGACACTGCCAGTATTTCACATCTCGCATTTATTAAAATACACTTACAATACTTCATTATTCTTCAGGGCATCAATAAAATAGAATAAAGCTACAAAAAGTCATTGACAAAAGAGATATTTGAGTTGAAATCAGTTCACAATGTCAGAAAGAGCGAGGCAATGGTTAGTTTACACTTATAGGACTTTAGCGCTGCACTATAATAAGTACAAAGTGAAGTGAATACAAATAAATAATCCAAAATGTATTTTATTTCTAAGGCGTTGCAGAAGCGCAATGGAATTAAATTATTGGGCTTAATTATGTTTTTATCCACAATGATTGTGTGAGTGTGTCTCAGTCTTTAAAGCTAATGCATGAAAATGCGATAATACTTCTTTAAGAGCCCTCAATGATCTCAATTGATGACCTTTTTGAAATACTTTTTGGCAATTCAACAAGTTTCTTTATATGTTTTATGTGTTGGCTGTTTTTAATCAGACACCAGGAGAAACTATTATTGTAAAACACATATATAAGAACTGCAGGAGAAAGTGTGTGAGACAAGGAGGTGGGGGGTACACAGAAGTTATTTTCTGCTCAACAGATGTTTACAAATTGAGTGACAAATGATTTCAAACCTTTCACTCTTTTTTAATATAATGATTTCATAAGTCACATCTTATTTTGGAACCTCATGTGATTCTGTTAATGCTGATAAAGTGAAATTATTTAAACTAACATCTGGGAAAGAGAGAGAGAGAAGGAAAGGAAGGTAAGAGCAAAAATAAACTCAAGGGAGAGAAATGTGTGTGTGTGTGTGTGTGTGTGTGTGTGTGTGTGTGTGTGTGTGTGTGTGTGTGTGTGTGTGTGTGTGTGTGTGTGTGTGTGAGGGGGAGATGAAGGGGGATAACTCCTCACTCCAGAATACTAACGAGGGCCTTTTGTCACCCCCTCCCTTCTTTTCACTCATCTCTCACACAAATAGACTTTTAATTGTACACTCTTTTACAAATAATTGCACACAAACACATGCACATATTTATGCCTTCAGTCAAACACACACACACACATTCGTAGAAATACTTTTATAATTGTAATCCCACTCTGACATAATCACACACACACACGGATGGATACAGAGTCGTTTTTGTCAATGGCGTCTTTTGTCTCTTTCATCTCGGCTGCTAACAAAGGATTCCTGTGTACAGAGAGGAGAGAGAGAAGGAAGCAAAGAGAGAGAAAGAGGAAAAGTAGAAAAAAGTGAAAGACTAGGGAGAGTTAGAGATCAGGAAAACATGCAGCGCTCCTTTGTTTGGCAAAAGAAAAAGTTTTGATTCAGTTTTTGGATTCGGCTCAGTACAGTAAGGTTGTTGCCATGGACATGGAATACATCCTACTGGAGAGGTGGGTCTAAAATATTTCCCTCTCATTTCCTCCCATTATCTGATGTATGATTGTAGTTATTATTTTCCCGTTCTGGGAATGTGAGATTGGATGAGAGGGCGATGCACCGATGAAAGAGAGACGTTTTCAATGGTGTCTTTGTGGTTATGAAACTTTTGAGAGGCTCACCCTTGCATAATCACCAAAGTGTGATGTAATTAAAGCTGTTATGCAAAGCGAGGTCAGCATTGTACAGAAGTGATTTAGATTAACACCAGCACGGTCAAATGTACGAGGACATCCCTGACTTTGGGTTGTTTTCTCAGTTTGTTTGGTTTTTGATCCATAGAGTTTTATTTTGCGAGTACTTTTGTTCTTAAGTAAGTACATTTTTGAATGCGGAACGTATTTCTTCACTGTGATATTACAAAACTAGGTATTACTCGGTTTGAGATCCGGATTTGGATCACCCATCATCATCCGGGCATTCAGAGAGCAACACTTTGGCTCTTTTCCTACCAAACTCTTACTGCTGTCTAAAGTTACCAGTCAGAAGTTCACTCTTTGTCCACTTAAGGCCTTGGACAAAGATTTCTACCCTTAATTTATTCATTAAAGTTCTCCTTTTTTCTCCGGGTGACAAATGAGACTCTGTGTGGAGTGGTTGTTGCGTTAATTCAGTGCATCTTCAGACTAATTCTACTGTTTCTCCTTTTTCTCTTTCCTTCTGCTTATCCCCCTCTCTTGTGGGTTATCTTCTCCTTACTGGCCTGCATGCTTTATCGGACGTAAGTGGAAGTATCAGATGTTCGGACTTACAGTAACTGTCTGTCTGTGTGTGTGACGGGTGAAACTGCATCTGCATGTACTGAAAGGGCACACATTCATGAACACATCCCACAGTGTAAAGCACTAAAAACACACTGTAAGATACTTTATGATGTATGAATATGTGCAGTTTTTCTATACATGAAGACAATAATACACTGGGTTTGTCCTGTGAAAATAGCTCAGAATCCACCCTGTACTATCCCTAATGCACTTTAATAATCTTTATTCTCGAAGTAGAATTATAATGGTTCCCCTTTTGTCCTTTTGTTCAACAGGAACAGCTGTTTGTTGGTGTTCACACTTGATAGCAGGTGTTATTTCCTGTATTCATGACACGACAATATTCTACTGAAACACAGACAGACAGAAAGAGGCTGTAATCATAAACACACTAATTGTAAGATGGATAAAAGTTCAGGTTCTTCGTTTTTGTTTAATCCTCAAGCACTCAGTCAAGTATAAAAGATGCTAGTGCACATCATGCTGAAAGTCTCCCAGTGACATCCGCAGTATAACTTAGATTAAAGTCTCATCCTCTCAGTTAGCCTGTTAGCTAACATGTGCTAATGACCAGTTATCATTAGTTAATATGTTGATAATGGGAATGTCCTTATTCCTCATTGGATAAATGCAATCTGAGACCTGAGAAAAACACTTGGAAAACAAGGGGTTCATTGAGGTGATTAGGATTCAGCATCTGGGGACAATGAACACTATTTTAGAGCTATTCATCTAACATTTTTAAAGATATTTCCCTAAATGAACCTGGTGGAACACCTGAACGCCTACTAGTGTTGCTCAAAACTACTAGTATCGTTCAGTACACGCGCTATTTCCTTTCTTGTCTCACTTTCTGGTTTCATTTTGAATCGTGTGGTTTTGATCTACGTGCTGTTAACTGCTGCAAACTACACGTAGTATAAAATGTGTGCAAAAGGAGAAACACAAGTTTAGACATAGGGTGTGTAATCTTAAGAAACCTTGGTTGTACAAGCAGTAGTTTCTTCATACTGTATTTGTGTTCCTCATTAGGCAAACTGTGTGAAATGTTGACAACCACATTTGGAAATGCCTTTTTATCTTATCTTTTCAGAATCATAAAAAAACATCCCACTTCTTGGTATTCAACTTCCCTCCCATGGCACAATTGTGTGTTTTAGCAGTTTATGTAATTTATGCTAGGGCATCTTCTAATGATCTTTCCACTGAGGGAAGACTGAAGGCTTGCTTTATACAAATTAAAAAGCGTTGGAAATCCCCCCAACCCACCTCTCACCATGATGCAAAAGAGAGACGTGTGTACACTTCCGAAACCAACGATATAAACACACAAACAACTAACCCACTTTTAGCCGCAACTTCTCTCTTTAATTTCTTCTATGTGACACAAGGCTTTTTGGCTGTAGCTCTGAGCGTTGCACTATATATATAATATATATATATTGTTTTAGCATTACTTAATTTGTTTTGGGGTTGTTGGCCTTAAAAACACTTGTCTCAGGATGCTAGAAGCAGCTGTGGGGTCATCTTCGACACCTTATTTTCTAGATTGAAACTACTGACAGGATGCCTTTTATCTATTTAAGAAGGGACAATGCACATTATTCATGCAAATGAGTATGCATTGAGTATGTTTCCTACAAATGGCAGGGTTTCAGGAACACTTCCAAAATCACAACGTGGGGTAAAACACACCGTGCACTCACAAAAGGGTTTTTACCTATTTGGGAAACTCCATTGACTTTATGCAAAGTGAGAATAGGGATACAGGATAGGAACATGTTATTACAATACAATACAATACAAAGGGGCTTTATTGGCATGACCACAAAAAATACACTTTCTGTTCTCAGGAAGATTACAAGCTAGAACATAGTTTCATACAAGCTTCTTCTTTGTTTCTATCAAGTCGAGCCTGAAGCAATGTTTTTTGTGGCTGAGGTCCAATTGATGAGACATAAGTACACACCTCTGTAGTATAATATCATGCTTGCAAAAAATGTGGTGACCTTAGGAAACTCCCAATCAAGTTTCACCAAACTTTAACAGAACATTATAGCAAAAACTTGACACTTGAGTTCGTGTGCGTGGCCTCTCAGGATTGCTTTGCTGATTAAACCTGCTTTATAATTTAACGTTACAGTTTCATGTTGACTTGCATGCTTGTTCTTTTTCTTTGATTTGCAACATATTTTTGATATTATCAATCACATGTTTAATTCAAAGTGTTATCAGGCTCATTTGAGATGAGAGCCGTGAGAATGAGAGCAGGTGCTTTCAGGGAAAGTTATAAAACTAAACTAGCCATCACCACAGGATATTACACACACTTTATCAGATCAGGATATCTGCTGATGTTGTGAACACACCAAGATGTTATAGAAAAGTTTTCATCGTAAAGACATTCTACCCCAAATCATCTCAAATGAGCCTATACACACTGGCCAGTTAGACATGTTATTATCAAGAGAAATTATTTACTAGTCTTTCTTTTTGTTCCCCAGATGACATCTGCCTCACCTCCCTCCTCTCGTAGCTCCTCTCCTCAGAAGGTGTGCCACTCCCAGACACAGACAGATGTTTTAAAACCCTTACTGGGTGGCGGCGTATCCGGTGGGGGCGGGACTCTGAGGAAGAGGAGACGTGTCCTGTCCAAAGATGGACGAAGCAACGTGCGCATCGAGCACGTCAGCGGGCGAAGTGCTCTGTACATGCGTGACCTCTGGACAACTTTTCTGGACATGCAGTGGCGCTACAAGTTATTCTTGTTCACGGCTACGTTTGCAGGGACCTGGTTCCTGTTCGGGGTGCTGTGGTATCTGTTGGCACTGGTGCACGAAGACCTACTTGGTGAGAATGTGGGGGACTAAGGTTTAATGGGTACTTCCATGTGTCTTCCTAGAGAAAAATATTTGGGTCACTATGGATGATTCAAAGACCTCCCTGGGAGTTCAGTCCAAAGACGTTCCCATGAAATCTTGCTTCCTGAAAAAATGCTATGAGCAGCAATAAGACATTTTTATAACCCCACCCTACTGGGGTCAAAAGAGAAATCTCACTGGTATCTTGAAACCTTTGTCATAAAACTGAAGCTAGTCGTGAATACACTTTTGGCCAAAGAGACCCTTTAACTTCGACAGGGGTTCAATTCCATTCACCAAACCCAACCACACTGTCATATTAGAACTAAGTTTAACTCCTAAAGAGGCCCTATTATGCTTTTTGGGGTTTTCTCTTTCCTGTAGTGTTGGGTATTGGACCCCTTTAAACTGGGTTTGTGGATAATCGACCACGGCAGGGCTCGAGTCAGATAGCACAGAGTCATCGGATGGTTATAAAATGTCTTTACTACTCAGAGCATGGAGGGAACATACGGTACAACATGTTGGAGAACAGGATAATTTGAGAATAGAGAATGGAGAATGGAGAATAGAGAATGTTGAAGTTTATCATCAGTGACTTCTCTCGGATTGCTGCTGCTACACTGCTGCGACAGCATGCACATAATAAAGTGCGAACGGCTCAAACAGGAAACAGAAACAACCTGCATTACAAAATAAGATCCCATTTCAAAATAAGACTGCTGAACATGACAAATTTTTAACATGTAGTGTGTTATATACCCTAGGTTGGTGTGCATGTAATGGCGCGTTTCCACTACACGGCCTCGCTCGGCCTCGCTCGGTATGGCTAGGCCTCGTTAGGACTGGCTCACTTTATGGCGCATTTCCATTACAGTTTAGGAACTGGGGTAGTATCTATAGTAACGCAGTGTAGGCGGAGCTGTGACGTCATCTTCAATGAGAACCCCAGAAAAACAACACAGCCGTTAGCTGTTAGCACTCAGAGCTCACAGCTCCTCATATCTGTTCAGAAACTAGACAAAAGTTAAACAAGTACAAACCACAGACTGTCTGTGTCATGGCGAATACAGTTGCTGGTTTATTTATGTCTGTATAGGCCGTTGTTGTGAGTGTGGACGGTCGGAGCATATACTGCGTTAGCTTAGCCAATCTCCATTTAGAAAACACGCATTTTAAAAGGTTTTTCGCCTGCCGTCTGTCTGCAGACTTGTCAAAGCATTAATTCATGGTTTTTACTAACCGGTATCAGTATGTTGTTACTTCGGCATCATTTTGAAACGTGTATTACAATTAAATCACGGTCAAATATGTCCATCTTGTTGTAGTTGTAGCCCCCTTGCCAGCGATTCTCTCTCTAGTTTAGAATACTCAGCCCGACTCAGCCTCGTTGTCTCTGGCCCTAGACCCACGATTTTATGAGGCCAGAAAAACTGTGAATTAGGACCCGCCGGCCGGTACTAGGCCAAGTGGAAACGCAACTAAAGACGGGCCGCTGACGGGCCGCTGACGGGCCGCTGACGTCACAGCCCTCTTAAACCGTGCTCCGCGCTGTAGTGGAAACGCGCCATAAATGGTCTGCATCCCCCCCTCAAAGTAGAGTCACAAAGTACAAATATGAACCTGAATTTGAGCATCATATGTCCTCTTTAATAAATAATAACAGAAGAATCAAAGGTCACCCTGTCCCTGTTGGACAAAAACATACCGTTGCTTATTTAGTCACATAAAATGCTTTAATTTCAAGACCACATTTTAGTTTATAACATGTTAACTTGTTGCCAAACATCTGTTCATGTGACTTTGGACATGATAGCATGAAGTGCATTAAACATCTTGAGGGTCCTTCACACTAAAGACAAAGTGTGAACACAGCTACACTCTACACAGCTCTGATAAGTGGGCGTCAATTATAGAGTGGTGTAAAGTGTCATATCAGCAGGAGGTGTTGAAGTGGGTGTCTGGAAAACATGACATTTAACCATCTAGAATCTCTATGTCCTTGTATGCACTTGCATCGGGGGTGAGTGTTATTTCTTATAGTTTTGTAAAGACATGAGGTTGTTGATGCAAATTGCATTTCCTGGGCCTAAGTCTTGAGCTTAAACTAAAAATAAATATGCTCACCCCCACTTCCTCTAAATATCACTTCTTCTTACGCTTGCTCAACTTACCGGCATACAAGTTATAAAAAGTACTGTAATGACACATACAGTAGCAATAGCATATTTTCAAGGCAGACACTTGTTTACTCTTACCTCAAAATGTATAGTTTATAAGACATAACAATGGCCAGTGTTAGCGTGTACAGAGAACAAAACAAAAACACAACATCACAAAAATAACTTTGTATATTCCCCTAGAATTTGACCCTCCATCAAATCACACACCCTGTGTGATGCAGGTGCAAACCCTGACGGGGGCTTTCCTCTTCTCCCTGGAGACCCAGACCACCATTGGTTATGGTTTTCGATGCATCACTGAGGAATGTCCAGTAGCCATCATCCTCCTCATCGTCCAGCTGGTGCTCACTATGCTGATGGAGATCTTCATCACCGGTACCTTCCTAGCCAAGGTAGCCAATGCGTAAATATTTAACTGCCAAGTATTGTATATTTACATAGAACTTTGCAGTTTTCTTAATAATTGCTGCAAAAAGTGAAAGAGAATGAGTTTTTCTCCAATAAAAAGCAGATGTGTCCTCTCCTAATTTGAAGCACAACTGCAGGCAATTCTTGAACAGGCATTCATCTGTTCCTATGTTGAGTGCAAAACTCCTCAACAAGTTTTATCAAAGATGATCTGACTAAAACCTGAACCTATTGATCTGTCCCTGCTTAGATTGCCCGGCCAAAGAAGCGAGGGGAGACGGTGAAGTTTAGCCAGCATGCTGTGGTGTCGACCCACGAAGGGCGACCCTGCCTGATGATCCGGGTGGCCAACATGCGCAAGAGTCTCCTGCTCGGGTGTCAGGTAAATGTGCATTGAGACAGAGTGTAGATTAACAGATATTAAAGATCTCCTCTCATGTTATTTTTAGGCATATATTATGGGTCTCAGATATATACAAATATATAAAAAACATGTCTATGATGTGTTTTGCTCAAAATACCAAACAGATCATGCATTTTAGACATCCCTCATATCCCTCTGTTCCAGCCCTGTTAGAGAAGTGCTGATTCTGGGTCTAAAGCTTTAAAAAAAAAAGAGAAGAATTCTACCCAGTTACAGCTAAATGCTGCTTTAAAAACTAGACTATACGTTTAGGGAGGGTTGCCTGAAGTGCCTCTGCATTGGCATACCAGTCAAAGCAAGAGGACCCACGATGAGAGCAGTTTAACCATTCATTCACTTCACATGCAGTTGACAGTTGATGTAGATGATGATGGTTATGATGCTAGGATATAAAACACAAGTGGAAATCAGGGAGAGCTACAACACTCTGCAACAACAAATCAAATATTGCTTTTGCAGGATAAGGATTAGGATACGCCATCAATAAACACAATCACCAGTAAACATAAATCACAAGCAGTCAGCTTTGTGCTACAGACACTGGAGAGAGACTGAGCAGGGCTGATTACAGGCCTTACATGGGATCAGGTGTGACCTGGTAGGTGGAGGCTAAGCCCCGCCTCAAACAAGACCAAAAAGGCAGGGGGATTTACAACAGCTGCCATGATGAAACGACATAACGTGTTCAAAACCACATTAAGGATTATTTCTGAAACAGTGTGGAGCTCAAATGCTTTTTCTCTTGCGGTTTTACCTCAAGGTCGGTGAGTACCTTTTATATCCTGATTTTTTACACATACTCTCTCCAGTACAGGTTAGCTCTGAGTGTTAGCGATGCTTGCTAATGTAAACAAAGAACATATTACTTCCAATATACGTCGTTACGTTGTTTCTGATAGCAACGTTTCTGATAGCGCCGTGGGTCCACATTTCCGATATTACGTCATATCGGACGCAAATCTGGATCAGCTCCGTTGTTCCCCCGTTTTTAGAGATTTGGGTACGGAGGAAAAGAGAGAGGGTTTTGTTTTCTGAGACTTTGTGAGTTCCCTGACACACCGGGGACACACATATATGTATAAAAGACATCATGTCAAAGTCAACTTTAATGTCAATCTTTCTGTGTGTTTGTACAGACAGAGAGATCGAAAATAACGTTTCCAACAATCCCGAATACAAAAATACAAAAATACAATAATACAAATATACAAATGTGTATACAAATATGTATATCATATATATACAATCAACAGACACAAGTGCATTTTGCATGAAAGGAGACCTTTAATACAACTTCTACTATAAATGTAAGCATGTGTACGAGCAATTTGTCAAACTTTGACCAACTCTCCCAGGTGACTGGAAAACTGCTCCAGACTTCTCTGACCAAGGAAGGCGAGACAGTTCGTCTGGACCAGAGGAACGTTCCCTTTGAAGTGGACATGTCCAGCGACAGCCCCTTCCTCATCCTACCCCTCACCTTCTATCACATCATAGATGAAAACAGCCCGCTGAGAGCCTGGGCAGCCAAGGGTACGTTTATTTCAATCTTGGCACCCATTGGCTCTGGGTTTTGAGAGTTCGGAGAATATTTAGCCTCTTGGGTCAAGGGGCTTTATTTCAGGTGTTCAATACTACTGGGACTGCAAATGGAAACTAAATTGCTTCGATACCATGATCTTGTCTGGCCGTTGCCTGCAGTTATAGAGATAACATTACTGAGAAATCATGTGACAGAATGCATTTCCGCTTTTCAGTGTTTGGTGAGCAAAGATGATCTGACAAGATTACATTTAGCTTGCGTCTTAACTTGCTGCAAATTGAGATGACCTTCCATTTGTAATCTCACTTTATTTATAAAAGAGACGCAAAACGCATTGTTTTTTTTCTCATTTTAACTTCCAACCTTTGTACCTACCAGCTTTATCTCTTACCAATACCAACTTTCCTTAGTCAAAGTCAAAGTCAGTCAAAGTCAACTTTAATGTACATTTTTCTGTGTGTTTGTACAGACAGAGAGATCGAAATAACATTTCCAACAACCCCGAAAAATACAATAATACAAATATACAAATATGTATATCCTCTATATATACAATCAACAGACGCATTTACACATATGCACAAATTAAAATAAAACAACAATCAATATATACAAAATATCAAAAATAACAATCACTTCAATATGTTAGGGAATGTACATAGTGCAAGATTGTCCATAGCAGCGTAAAAAAGTGTCTGGTGCTGTGTGTGTGTGGGTAGTTATAGTCCATTGGGGGCAGGGGGGAGAGGGGAGAGAGGGGAGAGAGAGAGGGAGGGAGGGAGGGGAGGGAGGGGAGAGAGTTCAGCCTAGTCCTGACAGCCTGGTGTAAAAAAACTGTATCACCTATATCAAGATACAAACAAAATGTGGACCTGCTTTTACCAACATTACTCTTAATACCACAGGTGGTCCACAGTGTGCCTTTACGTTTTGTATTTATCATGAATCTTTCTTTCCTCTCTTTCATTTTTCCTTTTGCCTCCACTAGGTGGGGGCTGGACGGATCCAGAGTTGGCGGACTTTGAGCTGTTGGTGATCATGAGTGCAACAGTTGAGCCGACCTCCGCTACCTGCCAGGTGCGCACCTCCTACCTGCCGGATGAGATTCTGTGGGGTTATGAGTTTCCCCCTGTCGTCTCTCTCTCCCCATCAGGCAAATACGTAGCGGACTTTTCCTTCTTCGACAAAGTGGCCAAGACGAAGACCACGCCCATCTTCAAACCCTCCAGCCCCCAGCCTGGGTACCAGAGCAACGGGGGCGGGGCATCGCCTGAGGTGTCCGATCCGGAGAAGATTCGCCTGGAGCAGAGCTACAGGGAAAGAGGAGACGAACGTGGCCGGGCCAGAGACACTCCTCTCAGTGTTCGCATCAGCAACGTGTGAACAGATGACACTATTTGAAAAGACAGAGTTCAATGTCAGAAGCAAATGAATGAAAACAACATATCACCTTTTGAAAGGTATCTAGGTTATAGTAGCAACAGAACATGCAGAAAGGAAAACATGAAAGACTGTGGACTGCTGTGGTCAACTTCAAGCTCGTCATGCAGTACCTTTGCTGTGATGATACGTGTTTTACACTGGGTTGACTTTACTCAGATTACAGCATAACACACGGCCTAACTGCAGCTACTATATATTACTGTATGTAACTAACTAAGAACAGAACAGGTTAGATTATACATTAGCAGAGAAAAACACAAAATGACACCAACGTCTAAACTCTAAACATTTATAAAAAGTCTTATGACATTGAGTTTCATCTCAGTTTTTTATTATTAGTATTAAAAAAAAACAATGAGTAATTCTGAGCCGGTAAAGCAGAAATCTCCATCCTGAACTCCCTGAACTCCCTGAACTCCCTGAACTCCCATAACACGGTCTTGAAAACTTTATGAAAAAGACAGAAATACTTGAGAAAAGACACAAACAAAATACCACTTGCTGTAATAGGTTAGGTAAAGCACTTTCTGTTAAGATGATGTAGCACAACTGTAATAACTGTAACCCATTTCAGATTGAATATTTAGTGTACATAATGCTCTGTATCTGTTGATGGTGTGGGCATTTATTTTTGCTGTTATTGACAGAGTTAGCACTTTATTTAAGTACATGATGTACATTTGCACCTTAGGAAGATTAGCTTTGGAATATAAGATTGTTATTACTACTAAAAGCACTTACAAATTAAATATCTTGCGTTTTAAAGCAGTTAGAAAAGACTTATATCAATATAAATGCGTCCTTCCTACAAAGCTAACTGGAATTACAGTTTCTCTGTCTCAGTGACTTTAGGCAAACTGACATGCCAATGAGATGACGTTTGAAGATAATGACATCATGAACCAACCAGCCTAACTTTGAAACCTGGTTACCAAAACATTCAAGGGTTCAAAGTCTGAAGCCTGCATGGGGAAGAGAGGGGAAAAAAAGAATGCTCCGGCTCTGGCCTGGTTTGCTGCTCCATCTTTATTGGTCCTCATCCTGTTTCAATGTTTGTTCATCTTCCTCCTCTCTCTCCAAACAGATCCCTTTCCCGTTCCCAATGCCACGCCCCCTTTCACACAGTGGCAGTTTTAACAGCTGCTGCACATACATGGTGTAGACAGGTTATTGTAGATTACAAATGTCACTGTTAGCATTGTAAGCTTGCCTTTCCGTGGGATTTATGAGTTACTAACTTTATCAAACTAATAGGAAAATATTTCTCGTAGCCCTTTTTAATTTTTCAGAGGTGAGTGCGGAGAATGTGAAAGTTATGTTGTATGTGACTGATCATGATTTTATTCTGATGGAGGGAATGTGTGCCATAAATGAGGGTGAATATTATGACTATGATGGAAATTGAATGTAAATGTTAAATTGTATTGAATTAACATCGAGCCCTGGAATGTAAATAGTGTTTAAGAGAGAAAAAGAGATAAACCTCTCTAAAAAAAGTGCTTTAATAAAGGTGATTTTCTGTTTTAAAGGCAAAGTTGAATCATGTCGAATATGGACACAGGCTGGTTTCAAACATGAGCAATGAACCTGAGAGGAAGCTGGGGGAGATGGTGGCTGACAAAACGCTGTGAAACTTCCGCATACAGCACATTTGCAGAATGAAGTCGTTTGTTTTACTTCTCTTTGTCGTTTATTTGCTTTATCTATGTGAATCAAAAGGTAAGAACAATAACTTGATTGTTTTCACAGTCAAAGTTGTTGTATTGTAGCACGACTTAAACAATATAAGATTAGAAAGGTAATGCTTTTTTGAATCGTACATTTCAATTAGGTAGTATTTAGAAATTAATACAATTATTAGTTATCTGCTTATTGTCATTTAATAAAGTAGTAATACTAATTAAATGTAAAATTGTATGCAGATATTTTGATATATACAGTTATGTCGGTTGAAACCACACCCAGGCACAAAGTCCCGGTGATGTAAAGGAAATATATCTTCAGTTTAAGTGAATGTAAAATACAGCAGAAACTTGAACTAAAATCTCCAGTCATCAGGATTATTAAATATTATCTATACTTTTATGAATATGTTGATCCATACGAAGATTAACATTTTATTTTAAAATAATTTGTGTGGCGGTACACACTTTTTCAGTCCTTTCAAGTAACAGTTTACATATTTGTATATTTTATGGTCTGGTTGCCAGCATCGTGAAGCCGTAATGTACCTCAAAGTTTTATGATAGAAATGTGTAGTCCCCAGCACATAAACGGCTGGATTAAATGCTTCACCTCTGTCAGGGGGAAAAAATAAGCAAGGTGTGAGAAAGTCCCCTGTTTTTCATACGAGACAGAATGGAAAGAATTTGTCATATGAAAAAGAAACATAAATACTAAAAGCAATATTTGAGTTCAACTGATAAACTCCTCTAAGCTTCAGGGGTCAAAGCCAATCCAAGATTTAAAGATATTTTCCAACCTTTGATTATTCATAAAATGAAGGTATTTTATAATTACATATAGTAGGAATAGAGAAATATTCAGTTTTGCCAGAATAAACATATATTGTATGTGATATTTACTGTATGATGTGTCTACTGCTTAACAGGGATCAGTGCTGGGACTGTGTTTGTGCTGAAGGGAGAGGATTTGCTTCTGAATGTCACCAAAGCTGTTGTTCTTCAGGATGTTTTTAGTTTTTCATGGAAATGTAATGAAAATAAAAATGTAATAACAGTTAACCTTGGCAACAATCCACATGTATTTCCTAATTACTCTGGAAGGATTGAGTTTACTGTGAACAATTTCTCTGTGATCTTGAAGAGTCTCCAAGAGGCAGACAGTGGAGTTTATACTGCTGAAGTGATAAAGCTTTCAGGAGGTGAAACAGAAGCAGCTAAATACAAGATCAAAGTTCAAGGTAGGTTTGTTAACCTCTGAAACACTGATAGAGTTTCTGTGGTCTTGTTTCTAAAACTCTTCACCTGCTTCTTCCCTCCTCAGATCGAGCGTCTCTCCCTCTCCTCACAGTGAGCTCTGTCTCTGATAGCTCTCCCTCCTGTAGCTTCACTGTGACCTGCAGCTCACAGGACTCTCACATCAACAGCACTTTCACATGTGAAACCAGAACCTGCAGTCAGGAGGGAGGAGAGCGGTCAGAGGGGATCCCTGATACTTTTCTCCAGGTCCACTGCTGTGAGCAGTGTTTTTCAGACAGGACAAGAAAACTGGATGAGTGCATGAAACCAAATGAAAAGCTTGTTTTCTTAATGGCACATTTCAGTTAAAAAATGATGAGCCTTATCTTTTAACTACAATGAAGTGTTTTAATTAAGTATTTTGTAGTTTATGAAACTAAACTGGGAATTATTCTGTGAAAATGGGGAAGTATCTGCTCCAGTAATTTGACTATCAGAACCAGCTATCATCATCTACCAGCGTTGCTCCGATTAAACAAGAGCCAGGTGGTGTTTTCTTATTCAGTGACCTTTGTTAGTTTCACATTGAACTGAATGACTGAATGTTTGGTTTAACATATTAGGGTTAAATCAAACAAATTAAATTATCAGATCAGGTCTGCTACTAAGATATCTTTGTGTAATTAAATCTAACAGTCTGGCAGGATGTGATGCAGTAACACACTTGACTAAGTTTATGAATTTAACCAAGCATTATAATGTGGCTTATGTTTTTATTTACAGATCATCAACCAACAAACAGTGGTCGCAGCATTTGGGGAGTATTCTTCCCAATTCTCGCTCTCGCCATTTGGTGTCTTCGAAAGAGAAGAACAAGTACGTCTAAGTCTGCATTTGATCAAAAACATTTATTTTTGTTTTACTGTTTGTGGGAATTAAGTGTTTTATTCAAGTTCATCATCTGCCACCTACACATCCCTATTGTCTATTGAGCAATCACATAAAACATATCTGAAACCTCTCATACAGCAACATACTCTTTATAATATTATCTGGAAAAATATCATTTAGACACATATATATACAACATCTGGAGTCAATTCAGATGCAGCTCAAGTAATGTAAATGTTATGAAGGTAATAAGCTTTAAAGGTGAAGCTCTCAAAATGAAATGTAAATTAATGCAAATCCACAAATATTTTGTTTTGACTGACCTGCAGGCAAAAGGGTGAGTGTCGAAAATACAGTTTATGATACTGCTCAGGTAAGAGACAAGGTATTTTACTTTTCACAAAAAATGTAATTTATTTTAGATTTTGAACAATTTAAACAGACTTGGACTGAATATGAGGAACAAGCTCAATCCATAACTGGAGCCTCAGACAGTTATATTGCCTCTATGCACACTAATCACTATACACTATGCACACAGTATATCTGCATATATGTATTTGTTATTTACTGTATATTATCCATGACTCCTTTCTACACCACCTTCTGCCTGCAGTTCCAGGTCCTGCTGCTCACATTTCTGGTTGTGCTGCTTGCTCTTTTAAAGCTCTGGATCCGACTAACCTGATGCACCGCGATGCTTCTCTCCAAACCTGCTGCTGAGGTTTCTGTCTGGCAATAATTGTGTTTAAACTGCACTGTGTTTCTTAGTGATGTGTATTTGTTGTTTGCTTGTGTGTGTTTTTTTTTTTTAAAGTTAATGCATTGATGGAACGATGCTCCTTCTTCATGTTCTTAAAACTCTTAATAACTTGCTGGTGTCATAAACATAATGCAGCCACAGTGACTTTTACCAAAGGTTTCTTTCATGCATATCACATGATCACAGCTTTGCTTCCTATTTTTGGCACACAGCCGTTAACCAAAGCTATGTGACTTCCTACTGAGCCGAGTGGTTTGTACTTCTGCATGTGTTTACACAACACATGCTGAGAGCAGAAGCCTCTCACGGGAAAGCTGCACTTGAGATACATTTGTTTTCAAACCGTGTGATAGTTGTGTGAAAAGTTAAACACAGTAACGTACAGATAACTGTTTTAAGAGAAACAGAAATCTTAATTTTTAAGAAAAGAGGAGACCTGTCATTTCCCATATATTTCTCTAAATGCAAAGTACTGTATGTGTTAGCAGTGCAAATGCTTTTGTGTGTGTGCTTATCTGGCCTTACTCTGCTTTTGATTAATAACACATAACATGTCATGCCTTTTTGCTGAAAATACAAATGAATCTTACATTTTTGTTTAACACCATTATCACTGTTGTAGTCAATAATATGGAATTGTATTGTATTTGAGGAATATATGACATATACAAATACAATATTATACAAACAACCTTTGGTAAATCAATGTTTTGTTCTGTTCCAGTTCGTAGCTCCAGCCCGGCCTCAGGATCCAACAGATGATGAAGCTTCAGCTCTTTGTCTGTCCTCCTGCCACGCTTTGGTTGGTTCTCACACTGGACCCCCAGCACCCACTGAGACTAAAAACACAGCTCAGCTAGAGAGTGTGAGTGTGTACGCTCAGGATAATAATGATTGCCACAATTATAACAGGAGTATGGAATGGTGTTTGGCGATTAGGCCCCAGTTTGCAGGATAATCATTCAGGAGGGGGAAGAACCGCTCCGATGAAACCCCCTGGGGTCTAGACACTGGTGGTGGTGATAAGTAGGTGGGAACGGACTGAAGGGAGAAGGTTTAGCTTGGTCCTGAAGGAGACAGGAGGCGAAAGGGGTGGAGGAGGGTTGCGTTTTGTCACCTGAAATGACAGCTGACAGAGGGAAGAGCAGATATAAAAGGGATTAGCGGGAGCTATGATAGGCTTGTGAGAATGGAGAGAGGAGAAATTGGTTAGCTGGGGAGTGACGCCCCCGATCACTTAATGAGGAAGGAGAGTGTAATGTGGTGACGTGTAATCTGAATGAAGAGCTTGGTCTTCCTGATTGAACTTGCGCTAAGCTTCATATGGCAACTGAGCCATGGACTTCATTTTCACATTACCCTCTTTTGGTGTGAACATCCTAAACCACGTCCTGTGTCTGCACCCAGAAGTGCTCTAACTCCACCTTCAATGCACAGCTGTGATTGGTTAATGATCGGTTGAAATGACTCATCAGCTTTTCTGGCAGTTTATGAATTCTGAATCTCTATGGCTATGAGCTGCCATCTTGACTCAAAGGACATTATTTATTGACTCCTCTCAGACAATACTGTGACAAAAATGTATTACATTTTTTTACATCTTAATGTTTTGTAATTTTTTGTATATCTTTAATTTCTGTCTGTTGTATGCACCTGATTATATTAGTATATTTTTGAAATATTGGAAAGCAATGATGTTTTGCACATTTTAATGCATTTTTCAAAGATTATAGCTAACTTTTAGAGCAACAGGAACAACTGATCCTAGTTAGCATCAAGCTAATTAGAGATGTAGGAGGATGAAACCCACTTTATCACACATTTTACCACTGGGGGGTTGGGGGTGTCTGATGCCTTGCTCAAGGGCACCACAGCAGGGCCCAGGAGGTGAACTGGGACTTCTCCAAGTAGCAGTCCACACTCCATATTTTAGGTCTGTTCGGGGACTTGAACCAGCGACCCTACGGCTCCCAGTCCAAGCCCCTACTGACTGAGCTAATGCCGGCAAGAAGAAGATCATTGGATTGAACGGTTTTATCCATTTTACACACAGTTTAATGACAGGCTTTGAGAGAAACAGATTACATGTAATGGAATTAATGTGATTGTGTGCAAATGATTTTACAGTTTTTACAGTTACAGAAATATGTTGTTTCATGCTACATAACAACAAAAAGGGGGATTATAAGAATGATTACAATATGTTACAATACATTTTCAAGAAAATAAGTATATATTACGAGGCCTAAGGCCTCCTTCACACGGGAACGTTTGCGTTTATGCACAGTATGCGTATTCAAAAAAGTCTTCTGTTCACATGCATTCGTTTCATTTAACGTGTCTGTTCAAACGAGACCGCTGGAAACGCTGTAGTACATATGCCGGGACTGTAAGTGTCGCTGTAACTTCTGCCAAAAGAGCAGCCTTGAGCAGCCCCGCAGCAATGTTGCCATGGCTACCCTTCTGTTTAAGCCCCGCGGTGTATTTAGCAACATGTAGTTCATGTAATTCTCCATGTCCACTTGTTGCTGATGGTTGTGGTAGAGGAGCTGTAGATTTTGCACTAATATCTGTAGCATGGTCAGTAGCAGTAGCACTAGCAGTAGCTACTGACAGGAGGAAGTGTGTGTGGCGATTGCTGGTATTCAGCGGGATATAGTAATTTCCTCAGCATGTAAATATATGGATAAATGCAACGGGGAAGTTAACTGAAAGAAACCGAATCTGTGGATATTGCATCGACCGACCAAGAAGCACGTCTCCGTGGAGAGGACGCGCTCAGAAAGAGAGATATTCTCTACAAACACCGGGTGAGATCGCTCCTCTGGGACACGCCGGTCCTCTGCCTACAAACATTTCTCTTTTTGCCGCCGACGGGCGCAGGAGCAATGAACAATAATGGCCTGGATTAGGCAGTAAAGACAAGTTTGGTGTATCGCAGAGCGGACTGTTTAATTTTGTTTGTGTTGTTTGGCTGGAAAATTGTCAATATAATGGATCAATGCATGAAATCTGACTCTGTTTATTTTGTTTAAGGAGTATATTGGGCGTTAACAATTCTGGTTTGCCTTTTATAATATTATTTCATTCAAGAACCCCTTGTGCGTTTAATTAACACAGCTATTTTTGATAGTTGCTACAGCAGTGAGCAGGAGAGGTGGGGAGAGGTGGGGCTATCGCTATTTTTTCAGGAAATATTCGTATAGAGGTGATTACACGGACTCGGTTGACCCCCCAGAGCGTTTCGTTTGCAAATCTATCCACCTTGGGACCCGTTATCGTTTGTGGGGTCAGTTTCTATCGGCCTCGTGTAAATAATAGGGCTATACGCACGCGAAACTATGCAGATACAAGCAGTTTTCTCCTCGTGTAAACGGCGCCTAAAGAAGTCATTTTTTGTTGAAAGGAGAAAAGTGAAACAACATTACCGCCATTGAAATCTTTGCCTTCAGTTCCAGCTGTTAATATATAATCATTTTCCAATAAGTCAACATTTAATTTAAAGAAAAATGTGCAGGTTAATGATTTGTAAATGATGGTTTTTCTGTGGTCCACTTCGTATAGGTATTTGTTTTTAATTTATGATACTTTCACTTTCTTCTTTTTAAAAGAAAAATACTTTTAAATGCAGCAGATGGACACCTGATTTCTAAAAAAGGATGTGTATTCTTTTATGCCGTCGCCAATGCAGTTGCACCAACATTGATTTTGCTAAGTGACTGTACCTGCAGGATTCTTTCTTTTTGAGGTTGTTTCTTCATGGTCTGAGGCCCTTAAGACGCTTCTTGATAAATGTGATGTAAGTATGTCATATAATGTGAGTGTATTTCATGTATTAATTGACAGCTCAGTGGGTGGACAGGTGATTCGTTACAAATGCTGTGAAAGCTCTTAATTAATATACTGCAGTGAACTTTAAATAAGTATATTCTGTTAGTTATAAAAAGAGCAGAGGACCCATTGTTGAAACTAAACAAACATATTTTTGTTTATTTTTTTCTAAGGTTACATTGTTCTGTTGTTTTTACACCTATGTAAAAGCCTTGTTGTATTTATTTGCATTGCATTGATATTGATTTGTCCCAAAAGTAATGTAAAGTAATTAGTTTAGGTTATATAAATAATCAGATACTTACATTAGGTTACTGATTGTTAGGTAATTAGTAAATGTAATGGAATACTTTGTCACAGCAGAGTGAAACAAAGAATTGCCACATGATATTTAGTACAATCAAATAAATAAAAAATATATGTGTGAGTAATTTGTTCATTTGCATGAACACATAATAGATAACGAAAAATATAGGAATAAAACAGCTTTATTAAATGACGCATGTATGCTTTCATTCAAAATGTAAACAAGCATAACACATACTGTACAAATATGTATAAATATGTATATCCTCTATATATACAATCAACAGACGCATTTACACATATGCACACATTAAAATAAAACACAACAATCAATATATCAAAATAACAGTCACTTCAATATGTTAGGGAATGTACATAGTGCAAGATTGTCCATAGCAGCGTAAAAAAGTCTCTGGTACTGGAATTGAGTGTCTGAGTGTGTGTGGGGAGTTATAGTCCAGTGGGGGCAGGGGGGAGAGGGGAGAGAGGGGAGAGAGAGGGGAGAGAGAGGGGAGAGAGAGGGGGGAGAGGGGAGAGAGGTGAGAAAGAGGGGGGAGAGGGGAGAGAGTTCAGCCTCCTGACAGCCTGGTGTAAAAAACTGTTCTTTAGGCCTCCTTCACACGGGAACGTTTGCGTTTATGCACAGTATGCGTTTTCAAAAAAGTCTTCCGTTCACATGCATTCGTTTCATTTAACGTGTCTGTTCAAACGAGACCGCTGGAAACGCTGTAGTACATATGCCGGGACTGTAAGTGGCGCTGTAACTTCCGCCAAAATACACCAAAAGCAGCGAAGAAGAGCAGCCCCGCAGCAATGTTGCCATGGCTACCCTTCTGTTTATGTCCCGCGGTGTATTAAGCAACATGTAGTTCATGTAATTCTCCATGTCCACTTGTTGCTGATGGTTGTGGTAGAGGAGCTGTAGATTTTGCACTAATATCTGTAGCATGGTCAGTAGCAGTTGCACTAGCAGTAGCTACTGACAGGAGGAAGTGTGTGTGGCGATTGCTGGTATTCAGCGGGATATAGTAATTTCCTCAGCATATGGATAAATGCAACGGGGAAGTTAACTGAAAGAAACCGAATCTGTGGATATTGCATCGACCGACCAAGAAGCACGTCTCCGTGGAGAGGACGGCTCAGAAAGAGAGATATTCTCTACAAACACCGGGTGAGATCGCTCCTTTGTCAATATAATGGATCAATGCATGAAATCTGACTCTGTTTATTTTGTTTAAGGAGTATATTGGGCGTTAACAATTCTGGTTTGCCTTTTATAATATTATTTCATTCAAGAACCCCTTGTGCGTTTAATTAACACAGCTATTTTTGATAGTTGCTACAGCAGTGAGCAGGAGAGGTGGGGAGAGGTGAGGTTATCGTTATTTTTTCAGGAAATATTCGTATAGAGGTGATTACACGGACTCGGTTGACCCCCCAGAGCATTTCGTTTGCAAATCTATCCACCTTGGGACCCGTTATCGTTTGTGGGGTCAGTTTCTATCGGCCTCGTGTAAATAATAGGGCTATACGCACGCAAAACTATGCAGATACAAGCAGTTTTCTCCTCGTGTAAACGGCGCCTTAGTCTGGTTGTGCTCGACCTCAGGCTGCGGAGTCTCCTCCCTGAAGGCAGGAGGGTGAAGAGGCAGTTGGAGGGATGGGTGGGGTCACCCACAATGCTGAGCGCTCTGCGGGTGAGGCGGGTGTTGTAAATGTCCAGGAGTGATGGGAGTGAGGCACAGAGTTGCAACCTTCCCTGTCCATTGATTTTACTCCTTTTTTTGCTAGCCAGACTCTTTTTCCTCTCTTTTTAATGGTGCATTCCCCTTTAATTCACCCTTAATGACTTTGTATCACCTGTATCAAGATACAAACAAAATGTGGACCTGCTTTTACCAACATTACTCTTAATACCACAGGTGGTCCACAGTGGGCCTTTACGTTTTGTATTTATCATGAATCTTGCTTTCCTCTCTTTCATTTTTCCTTTGGCCTCCACTAGGTGGGGGCTGGACGGATCCAGAGCTGGCAGACTTTGAGCTGTTGGTGATCATGAGTGCAACAGTTGAACCGACCTCCGCTACCTGCCAGGTGCGCACCTCCTACCTGCCGGATGAGATTCTGTGGGGTTATGAGTTTCCCCCTGTCGTCTCTCTCTCCCCATCAGGCAAATACGTAGCGGACTTCTCCTTCTTCGACAAAGTGGCCAAGACGAAGACCACGCCCATCTTCAAACCCTGCAGCCCCCAGCCTGGGTACCAGAGCAACGGGGGCGGGGCCGCGCCTGAGGTGTCCGATCCGGAGAAGATTCGCCTGGAGCAGAGCTACAGGGAGAGAGGAGACGAACGTGGCCGGGCCAGAGACACTCCTCTCAGTGTTCGCATCAGCAACGTGTGAACAGATGACACTATTTGAAAAGACAGAGTTCAATGTCAGAAGCAAATGAATGAAAACAACATATCACCTTTGGAAAGGTATCTAGGTTATAGCAGCAACAGAACATGCAGAAAGGAAAACATGAAAGACTGTGGACTACTGTGGTCAACTTCAAGCTCGTCATGCAGTGCCTTTGCTGTGATGATACGTGTTTTACACTGGGTTGACTTCACTCAGATTACAGCATAACACACGGCCTAACTGCAGCTACTGTATATTACTGTATTTAACTAACTAAGAACAGAACAGGTTAGATTATACATTAGCAGAGAAAAAAACAAAATGAGACAAACGTCTAAGCTCTAAACATTTATAAAAAGTCTTATGACATTGAGTTTCATCTCAGTTTTTTATTATTAGTATAAAAACACCAATGAGTAATTCTGAGCCGGTAAAGCAGAAATCCCCATCCTGAACTCCCTGAACTCCCTGAACTCCCTGAACTCCCTGAACTCCCTGAACTCCCTGAACTCCCACAACACTGTCAAGAAAACTTAAAATAAAAAATACAGAAATACTTGAGAAAAGACACAAACAAAATACCACTTGCTGTAATAGGTTAGGTAAAGCACTTTCTGTTAAGAAGATGTAGCACAACTGTAATAACTGTAAACACGTTTCAGATTGAATATTTAGTGTACATAATGCTCTGTATCTGTTGATGGTGTGGGCATTTATTTGTTGCTGTTATTGACAGAGTTAGCACTTTATGTAAGTACATGATGTACATTTGCACCTTAGGAAGATTAGCTTTGGAATATATGATTGTTATTACTAGTAAAAGCACTTAAAAATTAAATATCTTGCGTTTTAAAGCAGTTAGAAAATACTTATATAAATGCGTCCTTCCTACAAAGCTAACTGGAATTACAGTTTCTCTGTCTCAGTGAATTTAACTAAACTGAGATAACGTGCAAATGAAATAACGTTTGAAGATAAGGACATCATAAACCAACCAGCCTAACTTTGAAACCTGGTTACCACTGAAAGGGTTCAAAGTCTGAAGCCTGCATGGGGAAGAGAGGGGCAAATAAAAAGCGAGTGTGTGATAGAAACTCTCTCTGGAGGGACTATTTGCAGACCATTTACATGCACACACCTATATAACAAATGAAAAGGGAAAACCATCTAAAGCATAATAGGGCCTCTTTAATGCGAGTAATACAGTAAAATGAAAATCTAATGTCATTCAAAAAGGCAAACATATATCCAAGGAAAGAAATGCATTACAAAAAAGAAGTCAAGGAGGGAAAAATGCTCCGGCTCTGGCCTGGTTTGTTGCTCCATCCTTATTGGTCCTCAGACTCTTCATCCTGTTTCAATGTTTGTTCAGCTTCCTTCTTCCTCCTCTCTCTCCAAACAGATCCCTCTTCCACGCCCCCTTACACACAGTGGCAGTTAAACAGCTGCTGCACATACATGATGTAGACAGGTTATTGTAGATTGCAAATGTGACTGTTAGCATTGAGGAAGCTTGCCTTTCCCTGGGATTTATGATTTAATAACTTTATCAAACTAATAGGGAACAGTTTCTCGTAGCCCTTTTCAATTTTTTAGAGGTGATTGCAGAGAATGTGAAAGCTATGTTGTATGTGACTGAACATGATTTTATTCTGATGGGAATGTGTGCCATTAATGAGGATGAATATAATGACTAGGTTGGAAATTGAATGTAAATGTTAAATTGTATTGAATTAACATCGAGCCCTGGAATGTAAATAGTGTTTAAGATAAAGAGATACACCTCTCTAAAAAAAGTGCTTTAATAAAGGTGATTTTGTGTTTTAAAGGCCATATTTTGTGTCATGTCGTGTACAGGGCGGTATAGATTAAAGGAGAGAGGAGGAGTTTAAATGAGAAGCATGTCATGGACAAAGGCTGGTTTCAAAAACATAAGCAATGAAGCTTTGCTAAGAGGAAACGACACTTTTTGCAAAATGAAGTTGTTTGTTTTACTTCTCCTTGTCATTTATGAGCTCTATTTATGTGAATCACAAGGTAAGAACATTAACTTGTTTTGTTCTCCGAGTCAAAGTTGTTGTATTGTAGCACTACTTAAACAATATAAGATTAGAAACGTAATGCTTTTTTTTTTTAAACGTATATTTTAATTAGATAGTATTTAGAAATGTATACAAACATTAGTTGTCTGTTTATTGTCATTTAATAAAGTAGTACAATTATTAAAATACTAATTAAATGTAAAATTGTATGTAGATATTTTGATATATACAGTTATTGTCGGTTGAAACCTCACCCAGGCACAAAGTCCTGGTGATGTAAAGGTAAATGGTAAATGGACTATACTTATATAGCGCTTTATCCAGTCTTTAAGACCCCTTAAAGGAAATGTATCTTCAGTTTAAGTGAATGTAAAATACAGTAGAAACTTGAACTAAAATCTCCAGTCATTAGGATTATTAAATAGAATCTATACTTTTATGATTATGTTGATCCATACGAAGATTAAAGCTCCCATGTCATGCTTTTCCGGTTATTACCCGTCCCCTTGTGTGTTATGAAGGTTTTTATGCATGTAAACGGTGTGCAGAGTCAAAACCCTCAAAGTACACCCTGTAGCGAGTAAAACTCTAACACAGAAAATACCTCCCCAAAACGCCTCGTTGGAGATACGTCACTGCCCATTTGAGTCTTCCATTTAGTTCCGGGTACCGCCTGATGTCATGCGGTACCCGGAACGAAATGGACCAATCCCGAAGAGCTATGGCCACACCAGCAGCGTCGTGTTCCTCCTCCAGAGGTTCGAAGAACCGGCATTTCACAGACGAAAGCTTCCAAAACATTGCCCAGTTTGAGGCCGGATATGCACAGCTTGTTTGGACCGTTTGGAGCAGGGGAAGATCTGGGTATACAACCTGTAAGTTTGCATTGTTATTTGTGTATTTATCAAACAAGACTGTTTAAATGTGTAAACTGTGTTGGACTGCTAAGCCATTGACACAGTGCTAACTAAGTTGCTAGAGTTTCCATATATCAACTCTAATATCAGCAGATGGCCTTGCATACATGTATCTCATAGCAGGAGAATGTCTGCATTCACACACAAAATACCTATTGACAGTATACTCCGGGTGATTTGCCGGTCAGTCGAAACGTAATTACATTATAGCTGGCGTAGCGATCTAACACACGGAGCTAGAGCTAGTTTCGGTCAGAAAAACATTTTTGTGATGCTACGTTGCTAGCGTTTAAATATATCAACTACAATGTCAGCAGATGGCCTTACATGTTTGTCATGGCAGGAGAATGTCTGCAGTCACACACACGGAATACTCATACAGTATACTGTACTGTGATTTACCGTACATTGTGACCGTACATATACTGCATGTAGCTAACGAGGCTAGCTGTATGCTAGCGCAAAACAATGTATTCATGCAAGTTACATTGTATGACCGAACGTAGCAGAATACCCGTATACGATTGCAATTATAAACACGTTATTGCTAGCCTAATATGAACCACTAGCTTTTGTTCATAGTAGTTTTATTACACTGCATTATAGTTGCCTTTCCTCCAAGCTAACGTTCATATCGTGTTAGCTACCAAGGTAAACAAAGCTAGGTTAGCATATTAGCAGGCAAGCTGTTCATTACACAACTACTACTAACGAATCTAAAACAACTAAGTTTCTCTAATATTTTGTGATTTGCATTTGATTTCGTCCAGCCAGATCCTGGCGGACAATCCATGACGGGGAAGGGATTCTACTGAGGGTGCTAAAAGGCACCGCACCGACTGTGCGCAGGCAAGATGCGAGGAGGAGGAATGGATGATATACCGTGTATATATGTATATTTATGTTCATTTTGTACATTTCTAAAAATAAAGTTTAATGGAAATACTTAGTAGGCCTATCCTTTCTTCCCTGAATTCATATATAGCAAACCATGATTTGATTTCTCATCAAACAGTAGTAGTTTATAACGGGTAAAAATAACTTACTCTTTGTTATGAGAGTCGCTCGTAGGCCACAACGGAAAGACAAGGAGACATACACGAGTTTACAAAACCACGGCACATTTATTGTAGTAAATGCAGAGACAGGTGGTCGAGGGGAGAGGGTCGCTCAGTTCGTCCTTCTGCAGCCGCTTTGGAGAGAGACTCCGGGCCGCTGGGATTAATAGCACCGGCTACGGAGGTGTCCGTGATCGCGCTGATTACCCTCTTCAGCTCCACCCCACCGTAAGACAAAGGCCCTGAGGCCGTCACACTCTTCTATAACAACAGTTAAAAATATATATGTATATAAAATATACCGCTGTACCGACGCCATGATAAAACTGATGTTACGCTGAGAGCAGCCGGGAAAAGCACTGACATGGGCGCAGCCTCTCTGGTGGTTGACTAATCAGAACGAGTGGCCGAGCTGACCAATCGGAGCACACTAGGCTCACAGGGAGGGGGGGGGCAAGAGCTCCAACGAGTCGTTTAGTGGAGAAAGTGAATACTGCTGAATACACATGCTTGACAGAGATGCTGTATGCGAAACCAATGTGAGTTTGGAAAATTGCACAGTATAAATCTATTTTAGTATACCTCAACAATGTAATTATGATCAGTGGAAATGGCCATGACATGGGCCCTTTAACATTTTATTTTAAAAATAATTTGTGTGGCGGTACGCACTTTTTAGTCCTTTCAATTAACAGTTTACATATTTGTATATTTTATGGTCTGGTTGCAGCATCGTGAAGCCGTAATGCACATCAAAGTTTTATGATAGAAATGTGTAGTCCCCTGCACAGAGAGACTGCTGGATTAAAACTTGCATATATTTGGCAAATTGCACAATTAGAATAAATTGCGTTAATTGAAAGGAATGTACTATGTAAACAATAGCTACAAAATGACACAAGATGAAAATTATAACCTTTTCTGTCGACAATTCTTTTTCAAATAAATAGGAAACCTGTCTAATCAAAATGAGACCCTTAAATCTTCCAAATCGACCCAAAATGTATCAAAATCAACTGTCAGAGAGCAAAAATATTGGCTCCTTATAATTACCCCCAAAACCACTACAAAATTGTCCAAATCGGCCAAGCCATTTTTTAACTATTGTCCACATAGGCTATAATGGTTATTCATGCTGAAGTTTCTATATGCTGTTCCCGAACTATACATTTCTAACATAACACTTTGGTGTTCTCAACATTTCCAGATTCACAATAGGACTCTATGAGCTGGCAACTTGTAACCTTCAGAGTAGATGGTTTGAGACAGATTATAACCAAGTGTAGAAAAGGAGTAAATGCTTCGCCTCTGTCAAATCTGGGGAACAATAGTATGGGAAAAGAGGGGGTAAAATAAGCAAGGTGTAAAAAGTCCCCTGTTTTTCATACGAGACAGAATGGAAAGAATTTGTCAGATGAAAAAGAAACATAAATACTTAAAGCAACATTTAAGTTCAACTGATAAACTCCTCTAAGCAGCTTCAAGGGTCAAAGCTAATCCAAGATTTTTAAAAAAATATGTTCAAACCTTTGATTTTTCATAAGATGAAGGTATTTTATAATCACATAATAGGAATGGAGAAATATTTAGTTTTGCCCGAATAACCATATATTGTATGTGATATTTACTGTATGATGTGTCTTCTGTTTTACAGAGATCAGTGCTGGGACTGTGTTTGTGCTGAAGGGAGAGGATGTGCTTCTGAATGTCATGAATGCTGATGTTCTTCAGGATGTTTTTAGTTTTTCATGGACATTTAATGAAAAAAAAAAAAAATTAACAGTTAACCTTGGCAACAATCCAATAGTATTTCCTGATTATGCTGGAAGGATTGAGTTTGCTGTGAACAATTTATCTGTGATCTTGAAGAATCTCCAACATGCAGACAGTGGATATTATACTGCTGAAGTGGCAAAGGTTTCAGGAGGCGAAACAGAAGCAGCTAAATACAAGATCACAGTTCAAGGTAGGTTTGTTAACCTCTCAAACACTGATAGAGTTTCTGTGGTCTTGTTTCTGAAACTCTTCACCTGCTTCTTCCCTCCTCAGATCGAGTGTCTCCAGTAAACCTCACAGTGAGCTCTGTCTCCAGTAACTCTTCCTCCTGTAGCTTCACTGTGACCTGCAGCTCACAGGACTCTCACATCAACAGCACTTTCACATGTGACAACCATACCTGCAGTCAGGAGAGAGGAGAGCGGTCAGAGGGGATCCCTGATACTTTTCTCCAGGTCCACCAATCAAGTGGATCGATCATCTGTAACTATAGCAACCATGTCAGCTGGACCAACAGCACCAAAACAATCAAAGCTGTCTGCGCCAAACATGATGGTAAGACTGAAAGAGAAACTACTTCCTGATAATAACACACAGTTTAGAGTTAAGTTTAGAGCATTCAGTATAAGCATTTTTTAAGAACATATAAAAACAATGTAATATAAGATTTAGTTTTAAAAAGCACACCTTTATGGGTCTTTAAATCAGTAAATAATTATTCCAAGGTGTGACACATACATTGGGTTTGTTACAATTATGTTTAAAGTCACAATCTTTTTTTTTATCATTTTAAAAAAGATTTAAAGGAAGAGATTCTCAGGAGGCAGAAATTAACCCATTGAAGCCGTTATGAAAGAAACATTTGCAGTGCAAATCTCCAACAATTGTTTTTCCTCGTCTCAACATGACAGGAAATTAAAAAACGTGTGTGTGTGGGGAAGAGCTTTTAAAAGTTTAAAGCTTGTTTTTTTTTATTGTCACATGTTTCAGTTAAACCTGTATAAAGAAATACAATGAGGAGCCTTATCTTTACTACAATTAAGTGTTTTAATTAAGTATTTTGTAGTTTATAAAACTAAACTTGGAATTAGTCGGTGAAAGTTTCTGCTCCAGTAATTTGACTATCAGAACCAGCTATCATCATCTACCAGTGTTGCTTTGATTAAACAAGAGCCAGGTGTTGCTTACATTTTCTTATTCAGTGACCTGTTGATGGTTGGTAGTTTCCCATTGAACTGAGTAAATGTTTGGTTAAACATATTAGGGTTAAAGCAAACAAATTAAAAGCTTTTAAAGTTTTTGTATAATTAAATCTAACAGTCTGGCAGGATGTGAGGCAGTCGCACACTTGACTAAGTTTATGAATTTAACCAAGCATTATAATGTGGCTTATGTTTTTATTTACAGTTCCTCCCAAACCAAACCCTGTTCGCATCATTTTGGGAGTATTCTTCACAATTCTCATTCTCGCCATCATTGGTGTAGTAGGACTTTGGTGTCTTCGAAAGAGAAGAACAAGTAAGTCTAAGTGTGCATTTAATCAAAAACATTTATTTTTGTTTGACTGTTTGTGGGAATTAAGTGTTTTATTCAAGTTCATCATATGCCCCCTACACATCCCCATTGTCTATTGAGCAATCACATAAAACATGTCTGAAACCTCTCATACAGCAACATACTTTATATCATATTCTACATATAGAGACTTCAAGTGTTCAGCTGTTTGAAAAAGATAATTTAGACACAACCGATATCTGGACTCAAGTCAGATGCAGCTCAAGTAATGTACATGTTATGAAGGTAATAAGCTTTAAAGGTGAAGCTCTCAAAATGAAATGTAAATTAATGCAAATCCACATATATTTTGTATTGACTGACCTGCAGGCAAAAGAATGATTGTCGAAAATACAATTTATGATACTGCTCAGGTAAGAGACAAGTTTTCTTTAAACTTTTGAGTGAAAAGTAAAATAATTTAACTGAATTTTAGATTTTGAACAATTTAAACAGACTTGGACTGAATATGAGGAACAAGCTCAATCCATAACTGGAGCCTCAGACAGTTATATTGCCTCTATGCACACTAATCACTATACACTATGCACACAGTATATCTGCATATATGTATTTGTTATTTACTGTTTATTATCCATGACTCCTTTCTACACCACCTTCTGTCTGCAGTTCCAGGTCCTGCTGCTCACATTTCTGGTTGTGCTGCTTGCTCTTTTAAAGCTTTGGGTCCGACTAACCTGATGCACCGCGATGCTTCTCTCCAAACCTGCTGCTGAGGTTTCTGTCTGGCAATTATTGTGTTTAAACTGCACTGTGTTTCTTAGTGATGTGTATTTGTTGTTTGCTTGTGTGTGTTGTTTTCCCTTTCTTTTGTAATGCTCCTTCTTCTAAAAGCAAGAACACATGCTGGTGTCGTAAACATAATGCAGACACAGTGACTTTTACCAAAGGTTTCTTTCATGCATATCACATGATCAGAACTTTGCTTTCTATTTTTGGCACACAGCCGTTAACCAAAGCTATGTGACTTCCTACTGAGCCGAGTGGTTTGTACTTCTGCATTTTCTTACACAACACATACTGAGAGCAGAAGCCTTTCACGGGAAAGCTGCACTTGAGATACATTTAATTTCAAACCGTGTGATATAGTTGTGTGAAAAGTTGTACGCAGTAACGAAGAGATAACTTAAGAGAACCAGAAATCTTAATTTTTTGTCTCAGAACAAATTAAGAAAAGAGGAGACCTGTAATTTCCCATTTCTTTCTCTAAATGCAAAGTACTGTATGTGTTAGCAGTGCAAATGCTTTTGTGTGTGTGCTTATCTGGCCTTACTCTGCTTTTGATTAATAACACCTAAAATGTCATGCCTTTTAACTGAAAATACAAATGAATCTTACATTTTTGTTAAACACCATTATCACTTTTATAGTCAATAATATGGAATTGTATTTGAGGAATATATGACATATAAAAATACAATATTATACAAACAAACTTTGGTAAATCAATGTTTTGTTCTGTTCCAGTTCGTAGCTCCAGCCGGGCCTCAGGATCCAACAGATGATGAAGATTCAGCTCTGTCCTCCTGCTACGCTATGGTTGGTCCTCACACTGGACCCGCAGCACCCACTGAGCCTAGAAACACAGCTCAGCCAGAGAGTGTGAGTGTGTACGCTCAGGTAAAAAAGACCACACCAGGTCCTTGAAAAATGATCAGGAGTCGTATTCCACATACTGCACTAGTTGGGATTACGAGCAACTGAGCCATGGACTTTATTTTCACATTACCCTCTTTTGGTGTGAACATCCTAAACCACGTCCTGTGTCTGCACCCAGAAGTGCTCTAACTCCACCTTCAATGCACAGTTGTGATTGGTTAATGATCGGTTTAAATGACTCATCAGCTTTTCTTGCAGTGTATGCATTCTGTATCTCTATGGCTATGGGCTGCCATCTTGACTCAAAGGATATTATTTATTGACTCCTCTCAGACAATCCTGGGACAACATTACATTTTTTTTACATCTTAAAGGGGACCTATCATGCAAAATGCACTTTTGTACGTCTTTTATACATGAATATGTGTCCCCGGTGTTCCAGGGAACTCACCTTGGCCCGTTCTCATTTCATCAAATGTCCCTCCTCGACTCCTCGACTCCTCGGTCCTCCGGTAGTGAACCGGAAATGAATGTTAGCGCGCCATGTTAAAGGACATCTCATTTCTCGAAATGCACATCGAGGACCGAGCATCGAGCGTCGAGGAGGCTCTCTGGAGGAGCTATAACCGAGGATACACTGATTCATCGCGACGCGATGTTTCCAGTGAGAACAGCTGTGAGGTCCGTGCAGAAAGCAGAGCAGTGTGTATAATATATATCACTCAGTATAACAGGCCTACTCTCTTTATTTGCTTTAGTTTAGTAGATATCTACAAACAAAGTCGATATTTTTCTAAAACCATTTAGTGCTTCACATAATAAAATACACAACGGCTGTAGCCTGATTATTATGCTTTAGGAGCTGTAGGTGCGTGTGTGTGGTGTAGGTGTGTGTGGTACAGTGTGTGCGTAGATGCAGCGGACAGACAGGTCTCAGTTGGTTTGGTGTCCTCTGCTTACTTGTAATACTTGTAAATACAACTTTTGGCCCGTCATTTATTTCCCTCATTGTAGCGACCAGAGAGGGGAGAGGGGGGGGTATATCCAGTCTCTGATAGTGTTACGTTATTATGAGAGTGCTCTGTTTGATTCTGAAATTGTATATATTTATATAAATATATACATATGTGTGTGTGTGTGTGTGTGTGTGTATGTGTGTGTGTCTGTGTGTATGTCCGCATCTGTAGGCTGTTATTGTCTCATTATACCGCACTGTGAATGAATTAAAAGTCAATATATAAGTCGTCATGAACACATCTGTCCGTCAGACACTGTGCCTCCTGTCATCATTAATGGACGTCTCTTTACCAATGACCACTCAGAGGAGAGGAGTTCTCATTTCTCTAACCGCCTGCTGCTTCCCCTCCTTGGCTCCTCCGCTCGCATCTCCTGTGGGCGGGACTAAGTCTCGAGGATAGGAGTCGAGGAGGGGAGTCGGGGAGGGACATTTGATGAAATGAGAACGGACCCAAGTGTCAGAAAACACAACCCTCTCTATTTTCCTCCATACCCAAATCTCAAAAAAAAGGGCTGCAACGGATCTGATAAAAAACTGATCCAGATTTGAACACTGTCCTGACGTCAGGACGGTGGCACTACGGCTATTGGGCCAACTCCACCAATCAGGAGGAGACAGCCACGGCCATTGCCGTTCGAAAGCGCTGGAGACGCTGTAGTACATATGCCAGGCCTGTAGATGGTGCTGTTCTCACTGAATCAGCCCTTGCTAAAACAGATCTAAAAAATGTCAAATTGAGCAAAATGAGGCATGGCTAAAATGCATGATCTGTTTGGTAGTTTGAGAAAAAAAAAGTATAAATATGTCTTATATAGGTATGGTCCTCCACTATATTATTCAAATATAGCATGATAGGTCCACTTTAATGTTTTGTCATTTTTTGTATATCTTTATTTTCTGTCTGTTGTATGCACCTGATCCTATTAGTCTATTTTGAAATACTGGAAAGCAATGATGTTTTGCACATTTGTACAAACATTTCAAAGACTATAGCTAACTTGAAGAGCAACAGGAACCACTGATCCTACACAGGAAATATTGGTGAGTATTTTTTCCAGAGTAATTACTATTTTGCTCTGAAATAGTGATATTTAATAATTTTGGAGTGTATTTATTACTCATAGCTTCTAGAGTGCGATCAAAAATGCAGAGTCAATTCTATTGGAGTTAAACCATGACCACGCTGTAACGGAGGTGATCTCTGGGGCCATAGATCTCGGTCTCCGTTACGGATTATATAGCTTCATTATTGGCGAAGTATATTCATTTGTTCCACGCTAAAACATTGCACAGGAAGCATGTGATTATATGTAATTTATGCATATATTTGTCACGATCTGTCTATGTTTTAGTTTGTCTGTCTCTGTTTCCTGTTTTAGTTTGAAAAGTGTTTCCCCTCCCGTCTTGTCTGTTGCTGGTGATTGCGTTCACCTGGTGCCCTGTGTTTTCTACTCCCTCCTCACCTGTGTCTTGTTGGTTTGATTAGTCCTGTGTGTATTTAGGTTCTGTTTTCCTGTTAGTGTGTGTGTGTGAGGTCCTGGTGACTGGTGACTGTGTTCACGTGAGACAGTCATATTGAGGCTGTGTATCCTGTACCACAAAGAGGAATAAATGCCCACACCGGGTTGTATTTGAACTCTCTGCCTCTGCCTCCTTGCTTGGTCGGGCTGCTCAATGGTCAGCTTCACACACGCCCACTCATGTTCCTTAAGCACTTTGGTTTATTGACCTTTTTTTATTGTAAAGATCATTATGGTTCATTTATTCTATTCTGAGTAAAATTACCTTCTAGTTGGAGTGAAATTACCTTCTAGTTGGAGTGAAATTACCTTCTAGTTGGAGTGAAATTACCTTCTAGTTGGAGTGAAATGACGTTCGATTGGGAGTAAAATTACCTTCTATTATGAGTAAAATGGCAGTAGAGTTGTTTTTAATATACACTACATAGAGTAAATAACCATTAAGCAGAGTCAAATCTAAGCACATAATAGAGTAAAATGAAACTCTATACAACTCTGAACAAAGAGTACATTTTACTCTATATAGGTTGGGACCAAATGTTATATTTTTAGAGTAACATTTTCTTCAATTTGAGTCAATTTTACTCAGCATCAAGCTAATTAGAGGATGAAACCCTTGCAAATGCACACATCACAGCACACACAGTGACATTTGACCTCTTGGGGGTTGGGGGTGTCCAGTGCCTTGCTCAAGGACACCACAGCAGGGCCCAGGAGGTGGACTGGGACTTCTCCAAGTAGTCCACACTCCATATTTTAGGTCTGTTCGGGGACTTGAACCAGCGACCCTATGGCTCCCAGTCCAAGCCCCTACTGACTGAGCCACTGCCGGCAAGAAGAAGATCAATGGATCGAACTTTTTTCTACATTTTACACACAGTTTAGCGACAGGCTTTGAGATAAACAGATTACATGTAGTGGAATTAATGTTATTGTATGCAAAGGATTTTATAGTTTTTACCCTTAGAGTTACAGAAATACGTTGTTACTGCTACATAACAAAAAAAAGTGGGATTATAAGAATGATTACAATGTTACAATACATTTTCAAGTAAAGAAGTATATATTACGATTCATTCTCACACAATACATCAGTTCAAGAGTCTCACAACACCGAGTCTCGAGTGAAACCAAAGCTAATCTTCCTGTACATCATTGTTGCCTGTAGTTTAAAGAAGTCATGAATTGAATGGAAAATTCTCCATCATTTTGTGTTGAAAGGAGAAAAGTGGAACAACATTACCGCCATTGAAATCTTTGCCTTCCAGCTGTTAATATACTATCATTTTCCAAGGAGTCAACATTTAATTTGAAGAAGAATTTGCAGGTTAATGATTTGTAAATGATGGTTTTCTGTGGTCCACTTCGTATAGGTAGCCGTGCTTAGATTTTGTTATTAATTTAGGACACTTTCACTCTTCTTCTTTTTAAAAATATACTTTTAAATGCGGCAGATGGACACCTGATTTATAAAACATACTGTGTATTATTTTATGCAGTCACCAATGCAGTTGCACCAACATTGATTTTGCTAAGTGACTGTACCTGCAGGATTCTTTCTTTTTGAGGTTGTTTCTTTATGGTCTGAGGCCCTTAAGACGCTTCTTGATAAATGTGATGTAAGTATGTCATATAATGTAATGTGAGTGTATTTCATGTATTAATTGACAGCTCAGTGGGTGAACAGCTGATTTGTTACAAATACTGTGAAAGGTTACATTGTTTTGTTGTTTTATATTTTACACCTAGGTTAAAGCCTTGTATTTATTTGCTTTGAATTGATATTGAGTATCCCAAAAGAAATGGAAAGTAATTAAAAATCAGATACTTACAGTAGGTTACTGACAATTAGGTAATTAGTCATTGTAATGGAATACATTGTCACAATTAAGCTAAGTGGAACAAACAAATAGCCTCACATGATCTTTAGTCTTTAGTCTTTAGTAGAATCCAAACATATATGTGAGTAATTTGTTCATTTGCATTAACACATAATAGATAATGAAACATAGGAACAAAAAAGCTTTATTAAATGTTGCATGTAGAAGAAAATGCTTTAATTCAACAACAAAAAAATTGAAAACCTCCGTAATCTGAAGGCAAAATGATTTTACCTAAAAACAGATTACTGGATATAATGATTGGATTAACAGGAATATTCAGCAGTTTCTTGAAACCTGACGATTTACTAGCCAAAAATGCGTTGTCAGTACACATGCAGATACATTGTAAGTGTACATATTTATATCCATGTTTGCCACGTTGTCTGATAGTGAGTCCCTGTTTTATTTGTAATGTGCATGCACAAGCCCTTACGGGTACAACATTTCTGCTGCTGATTTGATGATATTTCATGGATCCACAATTTGGGGCACAGCAAGAAATGTAGAAATGCAACAACAAATGTGTGCGGCCTCAAGGCTGCAAGTACTATTATTATATTTTATACCCCGTCACCCAGCTGTGATGATTCACATTTCTTGTATTAACTCTTTGTAACTCTTAATATAAATGCTTTTAAACTTGACATTTACACATATTGTGAGTGAAAATAATAAAATGAAGACTCACTTCTAGCAGTTTCAACATATTTTGTTAAGACTAGAGCTTTTAATGAGACACTTGAGCTCGCCTGTCTTTCATAAAGTGCAACAATTCTGGAGGCGGGACACCAGGATTATGAAAATTGATTTGAAAATGTTTTTTGTGAGGAAATAATTTCTCCTGAAACCCCCCCAACTACCCCTAGGTGCCCTCAGTCGGGAACCAGAACTTTTTGTTTATTTGCTCTTGTTGAGCTTCTCCATGAGATGAACCGTGATGACAGCAGACACCATGATGATCAGACCCACAGAGAACACACACGTCTTCACCAGGCACACAGATAACCTCTCTGGAACTGAAACACAACAAACAGAGACTTTCATATCAAAACCGACACAGAGATCCAGACTGAGACGCACAACTGAGTGGAAGCAGCAACTCAGGTATTATTCCTTTTCTTGGATAACAGTTTGAGTCCTAAATTGTAAAATACATGCACTGCAAAGTGCATTTGAGTTTTACAGACTGCCCGTATGGTTTTATGGTGATGTATTGTTAACTCTGGTTTTTTGCTTATTCAAATATTCATGTTTAAATGTTG